CAAAGGAATATTATTCAGTCTTAAAAAGAAATGAAGTGCTGAAATAAACTAAATACAGATGAACCTTGAAAACATTATGTTAAATGGAAGGAGCCAGTCCAAAGGCACATGCTATGTGAGTAATTTACATGAAGTGCACAGAATAGGCAGATCCCTAGACACAGAAAGGAGACGAGGGCCTGTCGAGGGCTGGGGGCAGGGAGGAATGGGAAGGGAATGTTCATGGGTACTGGATTTTTTTGGGGTGATAAAATATTTAAAACTGATTGTGGTCATGGGTTGCACAACTCCGAACGTACTAAAAAAAAACCCACTGAATTATGCACTTTAAATGGGTGAATTGTATGACATGTGAATTACATCTCAATAAAGTTGTTACTAAAAAAAGACATCCGAGTCAACACGTGTGTCACACACCCTTTGCTCAGTAGAGCAATCTGCTGGTGCCCATAAACACAGCTCTGAATCTAAATGAATGCCCAGTTCTCAATACAAATTCTGTGTATTTGCCTTCACTTGCGAACACTAGCCTCTTATACAAACCAACAGATGAAACACCCAGCATGGCTTTAATATTAGTTCCACTTTACAATAACAACCTCTGTTGCAGAGCCAGTAGCAAGCCAGAACCCAACTCTGTGGTCCACCTTCCCACCACACAAGGCCCGCTGTCTGCGCTCTATCTTAGACACCTTCCCTCCCAAACAGCGGGTCTGGCTGAACCCAGCTGAGCCCCTACTTACTGGAGAGAACACCTAGGATGGCTTTCTGGAAGTGGGGGTATAAGGGAGGGGTGCGCACCCACAGGAGCAACCAAACAGAAAACAGGCACATCTGGCCCCAACACACCCACCATCCTCCCACACACAGGCCTTTTCAGTCGGAGTGGTGTTTTTAATTTTAAACTGCATCTACAAAGATTTTTATAGTTAGTTTCAAATTCCCTCAGTTAGCAGTTATAAGTTTTGATCTGTTCCTAATTATGGAAAAGAATCCTGGGGTGGGTTCAGAGTAGAGGAACTTGAGTTTAGCATTACAGTTTTTAAAGCACCAGTGTTTACACGAATTTCTCAGTAGAGAATTAGATTTCCCCAGCTATTTTGCTTTAAAATATGAGAATCAAAGACAAAAAAGGCTTTCGCCTACTCTGAAAGCCAATTAAAATGTAACTGAATGGCCTACACGGCATCATTTAGATTCTCCCCTCTTCTCTTCCCAACATTCTCTGCTTTTTTCCTGAATTTGTACCGTCTCTAAGTGGGCTACATCTAGAAAAGCTAAGGCTCTGAGGAAAATCAAGCAGTAAAGAAATGTGCAGCTCTCTTTGCTGAGAACACGACCACATCTGCCCAGGAAGATGCGAGCTCAGCCTTGCTCCCAGGCACAGCCAGACTTATTTCCGAATGCAGAGAGAACTGCTGTCCACCAGGCAGGCCCCTGTGGAGACACCGAGATGCAGGATGCCGAGGCCACATGTGCTGAACACCGAGGTTATTTACACCAAACAGCAAAAGACACATTTCAATAGAACTTACCTGCTTTTTCAAGAAAAGCTTGGCAAACTAGATGATGAGCATGCCATCATTTATTTTCACAAGTGCTCCTGAATGCAGCTTTCATAAATGGGTCTTACTCGAGTGAGTGACCCGGCCCAGGCAAAGAGCACCAAAAAACCAGGCAGAAGATCAATATCTCTTTGATTCTTAAATTTATAATCAGTACTTTTTAAAAATAAGCGTGAGGAAGAGATCTTCTAGAAGGAAATGCTCTAAAACCATGTCAGTGACTTTCAGAGGGTGGAGCAACAGGGTATTGGGAGGGAAAAAAACTAGACCTCGGCATTGGCAAAGCGCGGCTATCTCCAGCACAAAAGGCTGTTTATGTGCACAGAGCCCTCTTTCCAAATGGAAAGAAGTCAGCAGCACAAGTCAAGATTTTCACTAAAAACCTTAAGAATAGTAATCATTTTTCAGCTTTAAGTAACAAAGCTTGAAATTCAATCAGATTCGGACATAGCAAGGTAAGCCAGTATAAAACAATCACAACTGAAAACAAGTCAACAGGTATATTAACTAGAACCCGCATCAAATATTTTATAAATGCATGTGATCTACAACTTGATAGAGTGAAATGCTACCAAACTGGAATTATACTGACCAGGGCCTAGGGCTCAACCTCCCTGGTGTCAGAGAAACCACCCAAATCCCTGCTAGCCCCACACCAAATGCAGTCTATAGCAGAGAAAATTCTGGTGTGTCTCCTGATATTGCCCATGACCTTGGTGTGTGTTCCCTTCTCCTTGAGTGTGGGCATGCATGACCTATCCCAAGAGCTTTTAATAAAGGGAGTAGAAGTAGAAGTGTGTAAGGGATGCAACTTTGCTTCCTCTCTAGAATTTGGTGTTAACACTATTTTTTATTTTAGCCATTCAGATAGTATACAGAGATACCTCACTGTGGTTTTAATTTGCATTTCTTTCATGTCCTTTGATGCTGAACACCTTTTCATGTGGTTGTTTACCACACATATATCCTCTGTAGTAAAATGTCCCTTCATGTTTTTGTCCCTTTGCTAATTTGCCTGCTTGTTTTTAATGTTGAGTTTTGACAGCTCTCCTTATAGTCTAGATGCCACGACTTTGTCAGAAACATAGTTGACCAGTACACAGCTTGTCTTTTCATCTTCTTACCAGTGTCTTTCACAGAACAGAAGAATTTGGTTTTGATATGGTCCAATTAAATCATTTGTCTTTTTATGAATTATGTTTGTGTTGTCAAGTCTAAAAATCTGCCTTGCTCTAGAATGCAGATTTTCTCCTACTTTTCTTTTCCTAAAAGCTTTACAGTTTCATATTTTACATCTTAAACTGTGATCCATATTGAGTTTTTTTTTTTTGTATAAGATGTAAAGTTTAGGTTGAAGCTCATTTACTAGTTTATGGTTATTGAAGTATTCTAGCACCACTTGCTGAAAATTTTTCTCCACTGAGTTGACTTTGTGCCTTTGTCAAAAATCAGGTGTATGTACTTATGTGGTTCTCTTTCTGGGATTTTCATCCTGTCCCATTGATCTATGTGTCTATCACTCCTCCAATAACCATAGTAGTTAAACAGTAAGCCTTCACATTGCATATAATAATTCATCCCACTTTATTTCTGCCTTTCAAAACTGTTAGTTATTCTGGAATCTTTGCCTTTTCATATATTTACAAAAATCCCTGCTGTGATTTTTTTAAACTTTTTAAAATTGGGGTAAAATACATATATGAGGTAAAATTTGTAGTCTTAACCACTTTTCAGTGCAAAATTAAATACGCTAAACACAGATGCTGCAGAGGTTACATGAGAAGACAATGTGAACAACTTTAAAATTTAAAAACATAGGAAATAATACCTGGAAAAAAATGGAAAAAATATGAAACACCTAGGAAAAAATTATCTTGTGGATCAAATAAAAAGAGAAAATCCAAAATATCCTGCAACTATTAAAGAGTAGGGTTAGCAGATAAAAAAAATCCCAACAAATAAAACGCCAGAATCAAAAGTTTTTACAGAAGAGACCTACCAAAAATTAAAGGTTAAGTAATTCTACTATATAATCTCTTCCAGAAATGAGAGCAAAAATTCAAGGTTAGCTTCACCTTTAATATCAAAACCATCACCAGGACAGAAAAGGAAGTGTTACTTACTCATAAAATAGATACAAAATTCTAGTCAAAATATTAGTAAACTGAATCCAGCAATGCATAAAGTAAGAAAATGATAAATTGTGCTCAAGCAGCATTTACCCCAAGGAATACAAATGATGTTCCGGCTCCTGGCTCGTGCGACTGGACAAACGGTGGTCCCATTCACTGAGAAAGGAAGCACAGTCCGGGCAAAGATCACAAGAATGACTGTGCTGAGTGCAGGGAGCTGAATTCCCAGGTAGAGAGGTCCAGGCAGCAGCTGAGAGCACTATTCTGCTCAAATGGAAGCTGGGAGGCAGAGCACTAAGAACCACCAGCATACAAACAGGACCATGAGTCCAAGTGGGATGGAATTACCCCAGAAAACTGTGTGGGCTGAAGAGACGAGAACCAAGGCCTGAATTGCAGACATATTTAAGGAGGAAGACTTCTTAAAAAGACTGTCCAGAGGAATAGGGGACAAAAGGAGAAGGAAGTCAGTGACTCAACACAGACAATGAGGCAAAGGGGACAGAAGAACAATTTGGTCACTGGGCTGACCATGGCAAGGCAGTTTCAGGATGTGTGTGGAAATAAAGTAGACTCTTGTGGGTTGACAGGGTAATAGAAAAGAGAAACAGAAATAGGGCGTGTGGCCAGTGTTGTAAGAAGACTAGGTAAGGAGCGAAGCAGAGAGTCTATGAGCAAAGGGAATAGCAGGTTAAAGGATGAACAAATCTGCAGACTATCTAGACAGGAAAAGGAAGAGAGTGATGAGGAAAAAAATCTGTCCTCCACATTCCAGAAAGGACCAGATTGACTGTTCTTTAGTCACAGCCCCAAGACATGAACATAACATCACTAGACCTAGATTTCAAACCTTTCTAAGTGATCAGCGACAACTTCCTTCACTAATCATGCTTCGAAAACTGGCAAACGGCCACAGCCCAGTCCTGACTATGCTTCCATAGTTGGGGCGAACCAGTTCCTGAAAGACCACCCGTTCCTAATTCCACATTTACCAAAATGAAGGGGGTAAAAAAATTATGCTGTATTAAAGCAAGGCCCTTGAGGACACAGTGGTGGATGATCATAAGGGGTCATGCCATGGTCTCAGACAAGAGAGTCACAGAGGGTTCCCAAGGGACTGACCCCCTGGAAACAGAGAAAAGGAGCAGGCTGATGATGGTAGTCGCTGCTGCAGGCGACACGGATACTTAGATCTACTCTTGTGGGTCACAAAACACCCGAGACTTGGAGAGGGTGTGGTCTGCCTAAGAGTGAGCTAGTCAGGACTAAAATCCAGTCTAGTGCAGGACTTGGGCACCTTAGGGGGATGGTAAACTGCCTCCCTCATTGTCCCTCCTCTCCTCCTCTAAAGGCTACTTGCATTCCTGGGATCTTTTCATACCACACTCTCCACACTAGCTTTCACTGTTTCTATCTGCATTTGTTTCATTTATATCCACTCTCCCCATTTCAGAATTCAAACTGTGTAGATCTACAGACTGTTATGTGGCAAGTGCTTAATAAAGAAATGCACACAGTTGTAATTATTAAATTTGTTATATGCCAATTTGCTTTCAAGAGTGCTTATAAATTTCGTTTCTAGGGGAATCAAGCCATCCCCACCACAAGCTTCTTTATGGTGTTCCTGTGCTCAGTAAGGACGCCTCTGCCACAGATATCACAAAGGCAAGAAAATTATAAATCTCATTCACCACAAGTTCCAAATTAGTGAATGCAGTCTTCACGAGAGATTTCACCATTTTTGTAGGTAGGAGACCAACAGGCACTTCTTACCTGAATTTTGATGGGCCAGGTGAAATTACTGACATAAACAAAGAAAGTGATATTTGGATGGTTGCGAAAATCAAATTTTTCATTAGAGAAGCTGTCTTTGTACTCCTTAATGTTGGTTTTTGAAACAACAGGCATTTTTCTCCAGCCTGGGTTCCAGCTATTAGGAAGAAAAAGATGAACTTGAAAACTTTTTTAAGACAGAATCTACCCTCATTAATAATAAGGCTAACAGTATTTACTCAAAATTTCAATGTCCCAGCAACAGTCTTTAACGCTCAGTCTCATCTAATACTAACAACCACTTATCATCCTCATTTACAGATCAGGAAGCTGAGGTTTGGACAAATTAAGTCACATGACTCAGGTTACACAGCCGCCAAGAAGTGGAATTAGGATCTGAAGCTGGGCAGGCTGACCCACAAGCTTGTGCTCTTAGAATAGTTTTACTAGGGAGTCCTGCAGCCTCCGCCCCTATGGAAAACAGTATACATATGGCCATAAAAGCCCAGAAAACACTAAAATCCTATTAACAAGTAATGGCATTCACTCTGCCCACAACTCTTCAATTGCTCTGCATAGCTGAGTCCTCAAGGAGAGAGTCATTGCAAATCATTCATATTCTGCAGACAAAGGCTCTGATAATTCGGACTTTTTCTTTCTTTCTTTTTAAATTTAGTTAGGTATACAAGAACTGGGGTGTAGGCCAGAGGTGCAGGGGGTAGGGGTGGAGAGAGGCGGTGAGAAGACTCACCAGAGACAGAGTGGGGAGCAAAACAGGCAGATCTACTGAAATACACTACTGAGGGGAGCAGCGAGTGAGACAGGAGAGGTCTGCTGCGCCATGTGAGTCAGCTCCCTGGCTAGGGATCGAACTTGCATTTCAGTGGCTGGCAACTGCTTGATAACGCTGAGACTTCAACCCCTGAGCCACCAGGGAGGCTCCATACTTTTTCTTAAATTGCTGTCTTATTTATCTTTGTCACTGCAAGTTTCTGAACCTTTTCTGAATTCTATACAATATTTTAAGATATGATAAATACAAAGTGATATGCAAAGTCAATGTTTTTATTTTGCTTCAGTCTCACAGGTTGTGTTTTGACCAAATAACCAGTATCTTAATAATAATCATGATGAAAAAACAGTTACCATTTAATGAATTTCCAGCACTATATTGAGTACCTCTTTTATTATTGAATTCTCACAACATTCTATATAACTAAGTTGTCTTTATTATCCCAGTTTCAAGGAAACTGACTCAGAAAGCACAGCACTACTAAGTAACAGGCAGAATTCAAATCCAGGTCTGCTGACCTACATTCTCCACACTTTATTTCTTTAGGAGATTTTCTGCCCATTGGGTCTTCCTTAAAGAATCATAGTAAGATAAACAAAATAGCAAAAACCTGTGCTCTTAGAGCTTGATTTAATTCCCAGAGTACATTTATTTCCTTGTGCCTAAATTCTCATGTTTCTGTTTCCTGAAACAGAGTCATTTGAATCTTTCCCTTCTGCAGCTAGATGAGGATGCTGCAGGTGGTTCCAGGGTGGTGCTGGGGCACCAGAAGCAGAGGTGGCAGCAGAGCAGGGGCAGCGAGCACACACTGCGGCTGATGGCACAGTAGACACTGGCAGGCATAATCCAATTTATTCCACACCATAGCTGTTATCTTCTATTTAAGATGAATAACCCAAAGGTCTAGAGGAAGGTTTTGAACATTTGCTAAGGTCTAGTAAGTAGCAAAGTGGATGTTAAACCCATCTGTCTTCCAAGCTCCCTTTCTCAACTCCTGTATCACATTTCTCAACCTATTTCCTCCAGTCAGGGGGTCTTCTTTAGCTGTGTTTTTACCTGAGAAGCTGGCGGCCCAGGTGATGTTGAGGTTGAAGTTTTTGGAGGCATTGATGAACATGTCCAAATCCCTGTTTTGCTAATGAGAAGTGCAAATAAGTAGAAAATTAATTATAACAGTCTCCAGGTTTTAAAATAAAGCAGTGATTACATTTTACTACTCTCAATTTAACTTACAAAACAGATACTTCACAATCTCTTAAGCAAAACACACTTATAGAAGAGTCAGCCAAATTTCTAACCAATTTTTCTTTCTTTCTTTTTTTTTTTTTATAGAGGCATGTTATTTATTTATTTATTTATATTTGTTTGTTTGTTTTGTTTATACATGCACTGGGTACAGTCAGAAGCGCGGGAGGGTGAGAGAATTCACCAGAGCCAGAGCGGGGAGCAGAACAGGCAGAAGGACCGAAGCACACCGCTGAGGGGAGCAGCGGGCGGCAGGAGAGGTCCGCGCACCATGTGGGATCCTCCTCCGGGGCCGGGGAGCAGCCGGGGATCGAACCGGCGCCGCAGAGGCCGTGGGCAGCTTCGCAACCCAGCGCTCAACCGCTGCGCCACCGGGGAGGCCCCCAATTTTTCTTAATGTAAGGTCTATACCCCAAATAAATTTTATTGCCCACCCATAAAAGTATATGGGATTTAATGCTTTGTCAAACACCGAACTTCATGAAAAAAATAGCTCTTAGAAAGATCCTCCCCAGAACACCACACCTTCCATTCTATGATCTAACATTAGGGAGTTAGGCCTTCCAAGAACCCTCTGGGCAGCAGTTTCCAAATTTAGGTTCTAACATCTCTTCCTTGCATCTCTAAACATCACTCTTTAGAGACCACTTCTGAGGCAGTGCTTCCATAGATAATGGCCAAGACAAAGATCCACATGAAATCAAAACAAAATTAAGACTTTAAAAATCTTACTTCATCAGGTGTAGCCACAAAATTGATGGCTGTGTAGTAGCGGTCATCTTCCTGGGAGAGGCTAAAGGTGAACTGATAGTCAATAAGCAGAGTGTCTATGGAAAGAAATAAATATGTATTTAAGAATTGAAACAAAACAAACAGAACAGGCCTGGGGAGATACAGACTTATTTGCTTAAATTCAAATAACCAGAGAAGTACTTTGGGCTCATCAATACCTGGAGATTGGAAAATTTTTCCCAGAATATCAATTCTGTGGGCACTATCATTTAATTTGGGTTAACTCACCAACCTTCTTATATCATGACCACAACTGAGGCTTTAGGCTCCAACCTAACTCAACTAACAAATATTATATGAACATTACTACCTGCTAGGGTTTACTTCAGCATACAGAGCTATAAATTAATGGTACACGACTCCAGATTGGTTCCATTTCTAGGGCAAGGAATTAATATCTTGGTTATCTTATTTTAGAAAGTAAGGAAGTTTTCAATGACAAATGTGATACAGCAAAAGAACACAGCCTGGAAGAGAGCCAACTGGTCAAAGATGATATAATTTAATTCTAAAAAGTCTATTCTACAACACAACAGTAATAAAAAAGCAAAAACAAACAACCTGATTTAAAATGAACAAAGGATCTGAATAGCTATTTCGATTAAAAAGATAACAAATGAACAATAAGCACATGAAATGATGCTCAGCATCACTAGTCATTAAGGAAACGTGCATCAAAACCATAACCAGGCTTCACTGCACACACATCAGGATGCCTATTAAAAAACCAGAAAATAATGAGTGCTGGCGGGGTTGTGGAGAAACTGAAACCTCTGTGCACTACTGGCAGGAATGTAAAACAGTAGTACAGACACTGTGGAAAGTGGTATGGTGGTTCCTCAAAAAAATAAAAATGGGATCTAGTAATTGGCTTGTGCTGTAATATGATCCAGCAATTCTACTTTTGAGTATATATCCAAAAGAACTCAAAGCAGGAACCTGAAGAAGTACTCAGATACCCATGTTCACAGCAGTCAAATAGACTGTAGCTATTATTTCCAAAAGCCAAAAGGTGGAAGCAACAAACGTGTCCATAGTCAGATGAATGATAAACAAAATGTGGCAGTACACACGGTGAAATACTATTAAGCCTTGAAAAGGTAGGAAAGTCTGACATATGCTACAAGATGGATGAAGCCTGAGGACATTATGCCCAAGTGGAATAAACCAGCCATAAAAGAACAAACACTGTATGATTCAACATTATCAGGTACATAGAATAGTCAAACTCTAGGACAGAGAGGACTGAAGAAAGGTGGTTGCTAGGGGCTGGGAGGAGAAGAGAATGGGGGTGTCAGTTTAATAAGAGGCATGAATTATGGTACATGCACTGGTATAGTCAGAAGCGCGGTGAGAGAATTCACCAGAGCCAGAGAGCAGAGCAGGCAGAGGACAGAAGACACTGCTGCAGAGAGGTCTGCGTGCCATGTGGACCCTTAATCGAAGCACAGATGGGAGTTTCCATCAATAACTGTTAAGTTTATTTTACCTGTTTAAGAAACACCATATGGTTTTCCAAGTGGGTATACCATTTTAGATTTCCACAAAGAATGTAGAAGGTTCCTGTTTCTCCACATCATTGTTAAAACTTGGTATTGGTTTTTATCTAAGACAGATTAATAGATGATAATGTACCAGCTTACCACACCTGGGTGGCTGCTATATTTCTATCGCACTTACCATTCTCAAATCAACTTAGAGGAAATAATGAAGTTTTACTGAACTACTTTGCTTCTAGACAAATAAGAATTGCAAAAACACTTACAATAACATGTTCCTTTGAGAGGTTTCCCTGGTATTCTTTCTACCTCACATCTAGGGGGGAAAATGAAGATTATTGTCTATTACTAGTTACTAGTCAAAACAGAATCTATATTCACTTTAATATCAACCAGACTCCTTTACGTAAACTACAAACAGCTCTGAGTCAGTATTTTACATTCTTCACTGTTACCACATCAGGTGGAAAATGAGTTTGCATCCATTTTCAATGCTGACTGCTCAGCAGCTCACACCAACTGATAAATAATTGCCAAATAAATTATTGATAAATATTTGCCAAAATACACAAGCTAAATCCAAGTAGGCTCAATCTAGACCCTACTTAATACCATGAAAAACACATTTTCTCTTTTGGAAGAAGTAAATATTCTTCTAAAAGTCCAGTGAAAGCAGTTTTCAAATATTCATTCACTTCTTGCCTATTTCCTGGGATAATCTGAGCCTGCCCTTTCAATGCAAGTATGAGAAGGCTAAACACCAATTAGAATTCTTTTTTTTTTTTTTTTTAATCTCTTGAACATGGCTCACCCATTTTGGGGGAAAAAGTGCTAATCAAAAAGAATGATTAACACCCCCACGGATATCAGCAAAACACAGCCCCCCCCCCCCAACTTCACAAAGCCAGTTAGGCAGACACAATAGCTATGAAGTATGAGGAAAGGTGGGGAAAACTTGGGTGAAGCGTTTTTCTCAGGTAAATATTCAGGAACACTGTGATGCTTGGCACTTGCTTCTACCTAAACTCTCTTGAGGAAAAAAAACCCTTTCCCCGGAACTACTCCTCCTTTCTTTATTGCATAACATGACTGACTAATTGCTCTATTACGTTGTTCTGTTTAAAGGCATCTACCTTCAAATGTTAAATTTAATCTTTGATTAGACTTTGCTTTATGGACTGGCTTCAGGGCAGTATGAAACTGGTAAACAAATACACTGGTACAAGCTATAAAATGCAGGCAGAGCAATTCCCTCCTGAACACCCCTGTCAATGTCTCAATCATTTGTGACACTATTGCTAGCATTCTTTAAGAAAAAACAAAGCTGATCAATGATGTATCTGCTCTGTCAGCTCAGTGTTTTGATACTACAAAAATTTCTCTCTGAAGTCTCTTCCTAAGAGAACCAATAAACCTGCATCATGTTTTCGTGAGGTGAGGCATACAGGTATGTTAACTGGGGGATAATCTCTCTTTAACTCACTAGGGCACTAAAAATGATTATAGTAGGCCCACTATGGATAGATGGGGAAATGAGGCTCTGCACAATTAAGGGGTTTGTCTCAGAGGACCCTGCTGCTCAGTGGAGGCATCGCAACTGCAGAAACCCCAAGTTTGCCTAATGCCGTTTGTCTCCTCATGGATGATAGGACCCTGTCTTCCCTGGAAAATGTCTGATACACTATACCAAATAAAGTGCTAGAACAGGAAGGAACGTTAAAGGTGAACGTTGTCTCATCTCAACTATGAGACAACCAAAATAAAATACTACCCTGGAATATACCAGCTTTTCCAAATCTCAGTAAGGGTGCAGCCTCCTGACGTGACAAAAATGAAGTTGTTGCTCAAGTTAAAAGACTAATGCAAGTCAGCAACCCAGGAAACCTAAGAGTCACTTAAACATAAAAATGTAAATTAAAAAGCCATTAAGGAATTGCTGCTGAATTGATGGCCTCCTCAGCATGGGACCTGACCACCTCAGACTTGTGCAAAGTAGAAAGGGCAAAATTTCAAATCAATCAACGAGAGATCCTTCAGAGCCCATGGGAAAAAGGGCAGGGAAGGGGTGGCTGTGCAGGTTCAGGCAGCTTCAGTGCCCCTTGGTGCTCTCTGGTGGTTCAGACCCTGCTGACCTGGCTGTCAATCACTTAGCCTGTGGCAGGGGTCTCAGGAGTGGGTACTCACAGCTGGCACTCGTCTCCCTTGACGCCCTTGGTGGTGCAGAAGCACTTGCCCGTGTTGGTGTTGCACAGGGATGCATGCCCGTTGCACTTGCATGCTGGGGAGAAGGGAGAGGAATGCAGGTCACCATTGGTTTCAAAGCTTATGATCAGAGACTTTTCCTAAAATAAATAGTTACCTGACTTGGATTCGATGGGGAAGAGGATGAAAAGAAAAGCATTAAATGGGTAAGATTCATGTTTTTCAATTAATCAGTCATCTCAAGTAAAGTAAAGGTAACATTAAAGGACTCAAAGTCACATGACAGGAGGAAAGAGAACGACGGCTTCCACTGCCATCCTAAGGAACCACTATTTTGACTGCTTCTCTGTACAATTCTTTCACTCATGCACAAACACTTATGAAGCATCTCTGCTGTGCCAAGTGCTGGGTGTGGAGACACTCTGAGCAATGACTGGCCTCTGAGGGGGTCTGGCTGCACCCCACTTTTCCACTCCTGTTCTTCTCTCCTTTCACTCTCCCCAAAAACTCAGAGTTCATGAAAGCCTTCTGAGATGGAGGGAGCCTTTCATTTGGGGCTCCCTCAACAGTGAGCCTACTCCCCCAGCAGCGCTGATTCATCACCCACCGTGCCATTCCAGGAGGGACAATGAGGTGAGGCTTCCAGTGTAAGCCCCTTGCTTGTATCATCACCCTAAGTGATTAAAGGCTCCCCTCTTTCATTTCCAGCTCGTTGCCTTAACCGCTACTCTAACACCCGTCGGCTCTGCTCATTCCCTCCCACACTGGTGAGCTGAACTTCCGACAACTGTGACTTATGAAATGCTGTATTCAAAACCAAGTGGCTTTACACCTCCTGGACAGTCAAGACAAGGAGAAGCACTATGCCAGCCTGTGTGCAGTCAGGAGGCCCAACGGATTTGACTTACGCTGACATTTCCCTCCGTTGGTGGGGTCACCATAGAAGCCGGAGATGCAGGTCTCGCAGTGCTTGCCTGTGGTCAGGTTCTCACACTTCTCACAGATACTCTGATTAATGCATTTGCTGTGGCCATTGCATTGGCAAGCTGGAAGGAAAAGAACGTTAAGGGGTCTGTTCCATGGTGGAACTGGTGGAATAGGTTAGACAAAACTTATTTGCAGCCATCTGCTTATACTCCTTGTTGTCGCAAAATACAAAACCATCAGAACTGATCTACTAAAAACTCTTACTGAGAAATAAGACCACAACAGCAAAAATTAGGTATGCCAGGAAAGTCAGAAATATATCACAGCAAGGTGGAAACCCAGACCCATCAAAAAATTAATTTTCATTGTTATTCATTGTATAATATATGCTCATGATAATGTAACAAATAAAAGAAGGTAGAAAAGTCGTATACATGTCTACCACACAGAGATGACTATTCACATTTGGTACCTTTCCTTCCAGAAGTTTTTCTTTTTTCTTTAAAGATTTATTTATTTATGCATACAAGCACTGGGGTTCAGGCTAGAGGTGGGGGCAGGTGGTGAGTGGATTCAACAGAGACAGAGTGGGGAACAGAACAGGCAGATTGACTGAAATACACTGCTGAGGGGAGCAGCGGGAGAGTCAGGAGAGGTCTGCTGTGCCATGAGGATAGCTCCCTGGGCGGGGATCAAACTTGTGCTGCAGTGGCTGTGGATAGCTTCATAAGTTGTGACTTAACCCGTTGCACCACCAGGGAGGCCCTCCAGAAGTTTTTCTATGCAATTTTATATACTTGTGTTCATATTAATATTCAATTTTGATTTCTTTTTAACTCAGATCACAATGTACCACATTATTCAATTTACCATAAATAGAACTTAAACGGCAGAATAATTCCTTTGAGTCATAACAGTTACATAACTATTCCCTTATATTTTGATATTTGGTTTGCTTTTAAATTTTTTATTATTAGAAAAATAACCATCTTTATATATAAACATTTCCAGAAGTGGGATCACTAAGACTAGGTCACCTGGGACTCAATAACCAGAAAGGCAGACGACACGTGGGCCCTTCAGCACTGCTTGGACAGCTGTGCAGGCTATGACCACAAGACCCAAGGGACCTGAACCAACCAGAGTCCCAGCAGGGACTCTGAGTCTCTGCTTCTGCTGATCTGTCTTGGTTGATCAACGTGATGTTGTTTTTCATCACCTCAGCAAATTTCCACAGCCTGCTCCACTTGCCCACCCGCTAGCTACCCCATCCCTACAGGTATTTGAGTTGTTCTATATAGACTGCAACTGAAAAGCTTAAAATAACTATCAGTAATGACTATAATAAAATTACTTAAGGTGTGTGGATATACATGTTTGTATGGAAATGAGCAACGGTATTAGCAAAAGGGCAAAATACAACACACTGGAAATATAAACCTAAAATCATTTTCCAGTAAAAATATGTATTGTGGCTCAAGAATGAAAGACTGAAGAAAGGCCTCTCTTTCCTCCCCTTCAAAATCTCACTGAAATTACAGAAAATTGACAAAAACAGGGACAAATCAAAAGGAGTTTGAGGTTAAGAGTAAAAGGTACTATCAAAAGGATGGAGAGACACTTCTGAAGTACTGGGGAATATCTAAAAATTACAAAGCAGACAGAAAAAGAGGAGCTGAGATACCAGTATCATAATGGGGGAGGAGGGAACTGCCAAAGTGACTGGATGCATGTTACCAACTGACACCTCAAACGTGCAGCTGTGGCTGGGGTCAGAGCAGGCCTCCAGAGAGTGGTGGACAACAGGAAGTGACTCATGACCTGCTCTGTGCCTGCTCAACAGCTGGCTGAGGCATCTGTCCAGCGGCTACAGAGGAGACGGACAGTTCTGTGGGGGCCAGCAGAGGTGAAATATAGATCAGAAAGGAAAATCAGGGCAAAGCCCCAGCCGCCTTAACAGAATGAAAGGCTGTCACTCTGCATATCCAGGAATATGCACACACCTCCAGGCACCTGGTCCATTGTGTCCCCCTCCTCCTACTATGGGAGAAATGCAGGCCACTCAGCAAAAGCAGCAAGGACAAGAGCTGTGGAGCTGTGACTGGCCAGCACCCTCTCTCCCTTAGCCGTCACACCATACCTTCACACAGCTTGGCTCCCATCAAGGGCTGTTATTTCACCAGATACAGCCTTGACATTAATGGAAAAGCATAGGTTTAAATCTTTCATTAAAATGTTAACTATCAGCACATTCAAAATAGAATTGTAGTTCTTCCAAAATGTTAGATGAAAAAAGGGAACGGAGAAAGTCAATTGTTTGGTAGATAAAAAAGGGGTTCCTCATTTTATTTTGCATTTCCCTATTCTTGCTATTTCTTTTTCTGAGAACGACGGGATGCTTCTTTATAGCCTGTGAGGAACAGGAATTTAGCACAATGGCTGAAGGCCCTTCACCCCCCAACCAATATTTCTGAAAAACAGCTGTGCATTTCAGAACAAAGTGGCTCAAAGCTTATTAGTTTATCTCACACCAGGCGCCATTAGTTTTAAAACTGCTCCTATCTTATCTAACTAAGGGGAGGTTAGGGGTCAGATGCTTTTGATAAACAAAACAGGCTAAATCTAATTATCCCAATCTGTAAATTCCTGCCCCTTACTTCAAGCTCTGGACCAGGTGCCTGGAGGAGTGTGCATGCTGGGATGTGGGGATGTGCTGAGTGATGCCCCTTGGGGGGGGAAGGGGTCAATCTTTCATTCTGTTAAGACAGCTGGGGCTCTGCCCTGATATTCCTACAATAACACTTCATTTCTACCTGACTCCTGCATGAATTCTTTCCTGTGTAGAAGTCAAAAATCTTGGGGTCCCTCAGCACTCCTTGACCCCAACATTTGCTCACTTTTTTTCTATTAGGTTGACATTTAGCCATTTTTTTTTCCCCTGGAGGTTTCCATACTCTGGATGATGCTCATGTGTTATGTACACTTCAGACAATTTCTGTAAGTCTCTGTCTCTTGCCCTTTACCTTTATGTACCGAGGACACAGGGCTCCCACTTTCCCCTCCCCCCCACGCCCCAAAGAGGTCCTCAGAGTCCTGTGGCCAGACACAGGCTTTTGGAGAAGATCCCACTCACTGACATCCTGGCATGTGCAGCTGCCTGCCCTGCTGTCTGCAGGCCCACCAGCACATTTCTGAGCTTTCACAGGAGGTGAATAAAAGGCCAACTTCCCCAAGCTGGCTTCTCAGGGCAGCACCCCCAGCAGCAGGGGATGTTCTATTCCTTCTTGCATCAACCAATGGAAAAGATGGACAGAAAGGAAGAGTGGAGAGAAGGGGAAGGAAGGTGGGCTGGGGAGGGAGGTAGGAAAAGGGAAAGGAAGAAGGCAGGCAGGCAGGTAGGCTCACTAAATTCTTTCTCTAGCCAGAAGGGAAAGAGACCTTTTTCCTTTCTTCCTTTTCATTAAGAAAACTTGTTTTTATAAATCCTTCCTCTGTTCCTTTGATTTGTATATACATGTAAATTTTTTTAAAACAAAGTACTGGCTCTGGTCTGCATTGCAATCCAGGAATGCTTCTCTGAGGGGGCTGGGAGCCATCCCTTTGAGATGTAAACATCAAGAAGACAGCATCGTTTCTCCCAGGGACTTGGGGAACTTAGCCCAGGTAGGCAGGGCCAAGTACCCACCGCCTGCTGTAAAGACTCAAAAACTTTTCCTTTTGGATAAAGACAACTGATGATCCCAGGTATTCACCCAATCACCAGGTGGATTCAGGGCAACTATGAAAGAATATATAGCAAATGGTGCCATAAGATCCTCTCACATAAAGACAAATTATTGTTTATCTTTAGAACATGTATTTTATGGGTTGGATGTGTGTAGGGAAAGGTAAAAAGTATCTGGTTTTTCTGCCCTCCCGCCATCAGGATAGATGATGGATCCTTGTGGTCCCGAATGCATGCACCTGGTGGGCACCTGGAGTAGGGGGTGGGCATATGTAGATAGGATTTACCTGGGCTAAGACTGGGCTTATAAGGGCGGCGTCAGGGAGATGCCAGCAGAAGCAGAACCACGAGAAGCAGAGAGGGAACCATGAGAGGAGCAGAGAACAAGGCCACCAGAGAACGGCCGGAGAGCCCAGAGTGAAGACTTGCAGGGGGCTGGGAGGCCTGCTAGCCTCCCGGCCCCTCAGCACCCCTGCCTGCCATGTACCTGGTAAATCCCAATGAAAGCCTGCAAAAGCCACTGAGGGCTCCAGGACTCTCTCCTCCTTTACCGGGTCTGCTGGATTAGAGATCCTGCACTGTGCCCCTCCTGCCATTACAATGTGCTTGGTTATTTAAAGGGGTGAGATTTCTCAGCCTCTACAATCTCATTAGTGGATTGCCTGCAATGTGCAATAATAAAACTGTTTTCTTCTCTACATTTGTGGAGAATTTCTGGGGCCACAGATTTTATTTTCAATCCTTCTCCCCCCCTCGCTCCACCCCCAAAAACTGCCACCTTGTATTTCTAAGTAAAAAGCAAACTGTATCGGTGCCGTGGTGATAGGTGTGGTGTGTGGTTAAAACACACCTGAATGTTATTATCCTAAACCTAGACCTTTGACTCATATACAATGTTGGAAACCAATGTCACCTCAATAAAACAACAACAACTGTAGAACAATGTACGTAATATATAATACGCAAAGCACTTAAGTGTAGGATTTTAAAATATTTCCATCAGTATGCGCGGAGGTATCAATATCAAATAGTTTTACCTCTATGAGAAACTGGGAGGAGCAATTCCAGTTTTTATTTATATTTGTAATATTTACATTTTTTTCTAATGAATATGTTACTTTTGTAATGAAAGTGAGCTCACTTGAATCTCAATATTTTCATTTATAGGCATTAAATTTTTTTCACAAGAAAATACTTCTCCTAAGATAATGTTTTGTTTTTCCTAAAGAAAATCCATATAAATAATGTAGCTTTATAGGTTTTATTCTTTTTTAAGTGGGTAGTGAAACACTTGATTTTGGACACACAAGGCATCTTACCTGGACACTCAATGAAAGACCAGTTGTACCTGCCGTCCTCCAGACACATGCTGGAATTGAGAAGGGGCTGCGGGTAGGAGTGTCCTGTGGGAGCCTGGGCAGGCATCCTCACCGGCCCTTTATAGGAGCCCTCTATGCATTTCCCTTTGCCAGTGTTGCTGGGATCGGTACACCAGCCACAGCCCGGCTGCTCTAAGCAGTGACTGCAGGTGCAGTAGCCGGAACAATTTTCAGCTGTTAAGAAAAACACATGTTGTAATTCACTATCACAGATTTTAATGTATTGCATTTAAATTATCTTTTTCCTTAACAGACTCTTCTCGTGAATCTAACTCCTTATTCTATTATGTTAGTTAAGTGTCATACAGGGAGCCTAATCTTTTGCCCAACTTATAAGGACTCTTCGAGCTCAATCCCAGGATGCTGAAGGCAGAAGAGACTTTAGAGGTCACCTCCTGGAAAGTGCTTATGTTATGAATTAGGATTAAAATATAGAGACACTACTTGTGTTTGGTAACATGACACTGAAGTTGAGCAACTTATTTCTGTACTTGGATCTGTCCTACATTTATTTACTTGGGTCACTGCACCTGATTCTGTCTGATGAGGTCATCAGGCAGTCTCCAAACAGACCTGAGCAGAAGGCCAAGTTCAGTCCTGTCCCGAAAATGTCCAGATGCGGACAGTGCTGCTCCACAGCAAGCACAGCTGCCCCCACCCAGTAACGGTGGGGAGCTAACGGTGCCCGGAGCTCACTTTTCACTTACGGGGGCAACTGCTCATGGTATACCATTCCATACACTGGCCAAAGGGGAAGGAAGCCACGTAGGCATTGGAGTCCACGCACTGCTTCATGTTGCTGCACCACATGCACTCGGAGCTGCCGCTGGTGCACTCTCCGCACGCAGTCCTCAAGGCACATGGAGTCCGGCACTGCTTGGCACTGTGGTTCGCTGGAAGCAAACCCAAGAGATGCAGTCAGAACTCCCACCACGCTGGCCAAGGCCATAGTTTCCTCAGTATGACGTGTGACCCACTGTGTGTCATGAAATAAACTCAGTAGACTACACTAAATAAAGGAGAAAATAGAAACCATGAGAGTCACCATGTACTAATTAATAAAGAATATTTATATATTTGGGGGGGTGATTTTCTTTTCAAAGAGCATTAAGGAAAGAGAGAAAAGAACAAGATGTTATTTCCATTAAGAGCAGGGGTTCTAACTCTTCTTAGAATGTAATGGACTCAGGGGCCTCCCCTGGTGGCGCAGTGGTTGAGTGCTGGACTGCGAAGCTACCCGCTGCTTCTGCAGCACCGGTTCGATCCCCGGCCACCAGCACATGGCGCAACAGACCTCTCCTGCCACGCCCACTGCTCCCCTCAGCAGTGTATTTCATCGGTCTGCCTGTTCTGTTCCCCGCTCTGGCTCTGGTGAATTCTCTCACCCTCCCACGCTTCTGACTGTACCCAGTGCTCGCATAAATAAATAAATAAATCTTAAAAAAAAAAAATCATTCAACCACTTAAAAAAAAAAAAAGAATGTAATGTACTCAGGATGAACTTCAGGGGGGGTTACAACCCAGCTAGATATATAAAGTCAAAAGTCTATGTATTTGGGAAAAAAAAAAAAAAAAAGTCTATGTATTTGGGAAGGAAGAGGGACCACGCATTCATTAAATTCATCAAAGTGTTCAAGATCCAAAATGTCTGAAAAGCACCTAGAGAGTTTAGAAATCAGTTTAAGGTAACCCTACTATGCTATGAATTCTCTCCTACACCTCTGAATCCTCAAATTACAGCACCTTCCTGAAAAGAGACTTGAGGCCAGTTGAGTCTAGTCTCCCAAAAGTGCCCCTCAGAATTCCCCCTTTTACTTTTATGTTACTCCCTGTGCAGGAGCTGGTGCCTGTCCTAAGCTTATCTGCGTGCTGAGGTGCTGTGCCTGGCCTGCCTTTGTGATATCTGCACAGGCCGAGAGGAGAGTAAACCTCAAAGGGCTCCCCTGCACATTATGGCGACCCTGGCTGGCTTCTGCTCTTGTCATTTTCTCCCCACTGATGCCATCTTCTGTCCACTGCCCAGATAGTGAACTGCTTCCTTGTCTAATCTACTTTGTTTTTACTTGCATTTTTTTGTTCTCTCTTCCACATCATTCTTTGCCAACACCAAGAAAGTTTCAGAATAATTCTTAAACTTTCAACTTATTAATTAAAATACTAGGTTCTTTGAGTAGTGTTACTTATTTGTGTTTTTGCTTATGGCTCATAGTATTCACAGTCAGAGACTATTTCTGTTTTTAAAATTCTGGGTTATACTCTGGTCCATATGCTTAAAATCAATACTCCACCAGATTTTCATGAATGTTTCATACATCTCAACACCTACTCATGCCTATGGTTTCTCTTCCCATGAGCCTCCAACCGTGCCCAACCCACCCTCTGCTTACCAGGCCTTTCACAGACACTGCCGTTCAGTGGGTTGATGCAGGTTGCAGCCTTCAAGCCCCGAGTGCTGGGCTCGGACAGGATCCCACAGAAGCCGGCATCGCTGGGCTCAGAGGGCATCCACTGTAGCAGGCTGTTTGTAAACGGGGACATATCTTCCCAGCACCAGTAGGACACATTGATCTTCCGAAGGCCAACCCAAGGGGTTAAGGTGAGCTTCGACTACAGCAAAAAAGACTAAGCTATGAATACAATGGCTTGACCAAAGTAGCCCTCTGATAAAAACTAGTAACACATACCCCATAGATAAGAGGAAAGCTGACTCTACGTTAGGATTAGGACAGACCATCACTTCTGCATTACACACTATGCCTGGCATATCAAAGTATTCATTTAGATTAATAGCAAAGCAATAATAAAGCTCCTGAATTTTCAAACCTTGTGACAAATGCTATGAAGAGCTATCCCCCCACCTCCAAATTGGTTTAAATGTTTTATCCACACAAGTGCTCACCTGATCGACACTATGAAATATTGATTGCATGCCTATTTTCATGTCATTAATTCTGTTTTGAGGCCTTGGCCAATTCAGGTGATTGAAGATTCCCACCTTCAGCTGGGGGATATTGGCTGACATTAAATTTTACAGGAATAAAAGGATAGTGATCCCCTGGGAAAGCCTCCATCTTCAGCTCTACTGAATTTTCCTTCTCAATGCAATTTTAAAAAAATGTAATCAGAGTATAACTTTAGCCCGGAAATGAAAGGAATTTATAATTTTGGCAGTTTTAAAACAAAATGTACAATGGATTTATATTTTTGAGAGCAAAAATAATACAGGCTTATTTAAAAGACCTAAGAGAAATAAACCCAAAAGTGGTTATTTCGGTTGTGATGAATATTTATTTTCTTATTGTTATTGTTGATATTTTAAAATGTTCCTTTTAGAGCCTCCCTGACGGTGCAAGGGGTTAAGCACAGCACTATGAGGCAATCCGCAGTCTCTGCAGCATGGTTTCATTCCCCGGCCAGCCAGGGAGCAACCCACATGGCATAGCAGACCTCTCCTGACTTGCCCGCTGCTTCCCTCAGCAGTGTACTTCAGTATATCTGCCCGTTCTGTTCCCCATTCTGTCTCTGATGGATCCTCTCACCCCCTGCATCTCTGGCCTGTACCCCAGCTCTAGTATGCATAAATAAATAAATCTTTGAAAAAAAAAAATGTTCCTTTTAAATAAGTATTTTTTAAGGAAAGAAAATTAAAATCAATACTTTTTTATAGTTCTTCAATAACTTCTCTTCAATTTCTTGATAAAATTCAAAGCCTTTAGAACGACAGCCAAAGTTGTAATTTGGCCTTAATCCCTTTTTGAGGCCTCACTCAACAATTCCCTTGCCACCAGTCATGCAAGCTTACCAGCAGCTCACCAATCTCTGTGAAAAGGTGGGGAGGGTATCAATACACAGAGACCCTTTCCTTTCTCAGCTTCCCAAAGCACTTCTCATCTTTAAGGGTAACCTCTTTCTGGCTGTCTAGTAGCCAGTCTACCCTCAGTGCTAGCCTGGGCCTCTTTCCTATGTTGTCACGCAAGCCTGGGCTCTAAGTCTCAACTTACAACTGTGGAAGCACATTTCACTTTAGTTGTCTCCCTTCTGTCAGTCTTATCACAAGTCTGTGCATGTCTGTTGTATAAAGGCAAATTAGACTACACAGCAAATTAGACTACACAGCAATTTGGACTAGCCAGAACCTTCTAAGGCTAGGAAACCTGTGGGAGAGAGTAGAGGGACCAGAAGACATATCTCTATGGTCAGCCAGGAGAGCTGAACCCTTCGAAACAGGTCTTCTTCAGAGACATGGAATTGGGAATCATGGTCTTGGGCAAAGCTGAAAAGCATTAATTTTTTTGAGAGCACAATAATAGGTAAGGTCTGCTGACAGTCAAGGACAGAACACTGAGGGAAGCCACACTAGAAAAGACAAAACATGATTGTGGAAATAACAACTAGATGCTGCCTGAGAGCATTGGCTGGGCAGGGAGAGAAGCTGGGTTCCTGGTGTGCTTAGAAGCTCTTGATGAGAAGATCAGTCCTACCCCTCTGGACTGACCAGATCTAAGACCCAGACAGGTGTCCAATTCTTGGGGTCATAAATATTAAGTCATATAACATATTATAATAATACCTGAAATCCGAGATTCAGGTGGCTTAATCCGGTCTAGCTAATTAGCAGTGACGTCCCCCACCCAAGCAATAAATCAGATACAAACTAATCTACTGAATCACCAGGATATGAGCACATTTATACAAGCTATGACTCATAAAAAGAAAGTGTTAAACATTTTCAGATAAGACGGCATTAAAGGAAGAGAACCTGACAGTCCAGTTTCGCAATCTATCACACTGTGTGTGCCAGCATCCTCCTGCTGAGCATGGCACAGGCAAGCCAGATTCAGGCCTTTGGTAGAAAGAAGGATACTACAAACTTAAGTTCTGAGGATTTCAACTCACCATGCTCTGTGATGACTGCATCATTCGTAGCTGCTTAAGAACAAATTCTACCTTCTTCTGGGTTGTAAGAGAAGCCAAAAAGGCATTGTGGTTCCTACAGGACAATTTAGCATTGTCATAGTTCTCCTTGGCAGTAGTAATTTTCAAACATGCGTTTCCAACCAAATGCCAGCCAATGCCACAGATATTTTCTTTCGTAAAGGAGGGAGAGGAAAAAAGTTTTAGAAATTACACAAAACTACTGTATTACCAATTCAAATTACTGGAAACATCAATGGTCTTTGTGATTTGAATTTTATTAGGATGTGCTTAGGTGCCTCAGACACATTCCTAAGTACCAAATACATAATACAGAAATTTTTAAATGTTGGTCATATTTCCTGAATCTCAAAAATCAGATTCTGAGGTCAACCCGCTAAAGTCTTAGAAGAAAACACTTTTTTTTGGTACAGCATCAGATCTGTAAACCTCCTTTTAAAGAACAAATAGAAAGGAGACCAAAACCCTAAGTAAAAAGCAGAAAAATGAACATGTGTTTTAGAAGGGTGGGGTAGAAAACCACAACAATAGAAATGAGTTGGCAGAAGAACTAAGCTACAGACTTCAAGGGCTGCACTGCTTCCACAGCACCAAGTGGGAGGTAAAATCAAGTTCATAAAACATCTCCAAAACAAGGTGGAAAGATCTTTTGGGGGAAAAAACCAAAGTGGTACAGCTTTAGCACACAAGGCAAGCTTGTAGTATTCTGCCACTGTGATACCCTGAAGCTACCCCAGGTGCTTCCCAGAGTCATGGATGCCTCCAGGATGCCAGGAACAAGGGACACAAATCCAGCAGAATCAGATGCCCTGGAGACACCATCAACCATGTTCATTAACAGTAAGGGAGAGAAGGGAAACATCACAGGAAGGGGATCATTCAAAAGCAGGTAAAGACTTGCTCCTTAAAGTGTGGCTTCAGTGTCACTGTTAAAATGTACATCTTGGGCACCATCCCAGATCTGAAACCGAATTTGTCTTCTAGAACGATCACCAGGTGCTTTGCTGTGCATGAAACTTTGAAATGCAAAGAGATAAAGAATAAGAAGCCCATTCCTGCAAGCTGAATTGACTACCACAGCACATTCACAGGCCCTGGGGGATGCCAACTGTCCTGCACAAACCCAGATGTCACACTTTGTCACACTTTGCCAAATGTCCTTCCCAGACATCCTGGTTAGGCAAATGTCAGCATTTCAATCATGGTTTCCTGGTTCTAGGCCCCCAATTCATCATCCTAAGCCTCAGAGGTACCATAAATTGAGGTATCTGGGGTTGGAGAGCACCAGAGAAGACACTGCTAACAGAGGTATCTCTCCTCTCCTTGTCAGAAGGTGCCAAAACCTAATTCCCATGGTCAATAAGAAGTACCCCTCATAAAGGTCCCAGGAAGTTGGCTGCTGAGACTGCTACACGTTATTCTAGTTATGACAGCAGATGGGGTGGGAGTGAAGGAGCAGGCTCAACAATACAGAGCCGAGCTGTCACAGGATTCTCCAGAGTTGCAGATGAGACTTCATTTTATTTCAATGAGCAGCAAAAGCAATTGTTATAAATAACAATCACAGTACTGGTATGGGAGAATCACTGGATAAAATGAGCTTGTTCCCTCTGCCAGGTTCACTCTAAGCTGCACAATATTGGACCCATATCCACCAAGATGCGCCTCTCGGCAAGGCCTACCAGGCAGGGCAATGCACTCCTGATTCCGGGGTTCCCACTGGCAGTTCTGGTCCAGGGCACAGCTCCTGCAGCTCGTCTTCTTGTTACAGTAGTACATAGGGTTATCCTTGGGGCAATTCTCATACCTAGCAATGGAGATCTAGAATACAGGAAACAAAAAGTTTTCCTCTCATATCCACAGAGAGAACTCAGGAGGAGGACAGAGAGGATACTAAAAACGACAAACTCTAGTTGAGGAAGCAAGCTTCAAGTAGATAAAAATACAAGAAGCACAATGGCGGATGAAGCAGCACTACAGTGGAACCAGCATGGTAAAATGCTCTGCTCAAGAACACACCTTTAACCAGCAAGGAAGCAGTGCTCTCTTAAACATTCTGCTTTAACCTGCTCATCTATAAAATGGGGGTGTTGGGCCTCCCCGGTGGCGCAGCGGTTGAGCGCTGGGTTGCGAAGCTGCCCACAGCCTCTGCGGCGCCGGTTCGATCCCTGGCTGCTTCCCGGCCACCGGAGGAGGGTCCCGCATGGCGCGCAGACCTCTCCTGCTGCCCGCTGCTCCCCTCAGCAGTGTACTTCGGTCCTTCTGCCTGTTCTGCTCCCCGCTCTGGCTCTGGTGAATTCTCTCACCCTCCCGCGCTTCTGACTGTACCCAGTGCATGTATAAACAAAACAAACAAACAAACAAACAAAGAAAACATGCCTCTATAAAAAAAAAATAAATAAAAATAAAATAAAATGGGGGTGTTGAACTTGCTGCTTTCAAATGCCTCCCAAAACATGCCTCAGAAAGGTTTTGTATTTTATGAACTGCATTCCAAAGAGTGCCTTTTAAATTGATAAAAACTACATAAGCTGAGTCAAATCTTTTTCTGCATCTTATTATAACCTAAATAAAAATGCACAAATGGTAAGCATTAAGTTATGCTGAGTTGAGATTTACCCTAAGACAAGGAGATTTTGCAAAGTCTCTTATCTCTATAATGCAGTATGACTGACACCTGATCCCTTTCAGTCTCAAGACCTAACTTGCTCAAAACCTTGTATATATGTAGAGCCATCCGGCCATTCATTAGAAGCCTCACATCACAGACCCAGTACTTAACCACAGCCATGCTCAGGGGCAGGGGGTAGAGGGTAGAGAGTATTCAGAAAACAGTCACTCCTGCTTCTAAAACACCACACATATATTTTTGTGGTAGAGCAACCACTTCCTAGAAGAAAACCACCTTTGAAGGTTTTAAAAATTACTCTGGTTCAGTATTTATACCATATACATTACAATCTAAATGTGACTTCATGCGGAATTTTCCCCTGCTCTGAAATCTGTGAGAAGTGGTCTCTGACCTGGCCTTCTGTGCAGCTGTGGTTCATCGGGACACAATGGTCATTGCACCAGTGGCAGTCATTGGTGTTGGCTGTGCAGCTGTAACAATCCGTGTGCTGGTCGCATCGGTCATGATCGAGAGCTATGGAGAGAAGAAAAACTCATCAACCAAGACAGCTTGTCAGAAAAGTCAGTCATGACTGGTGAGAGCTGTTGTTAAACACAATCTGAGATTGAAGTTAAAAAAAAAAAAATAAAGTAACAATGGTTAGGGAGTAAAGTATGGAGTGAAACTGGCAGGAAAATATATTGGTATGTTCAACTTAAAATAGTATTTAGAAATAAGTAGACAATCTGAAAATATACTACTTTGTACTACCACAACAAAAGTATATGACACAACATATGTAAATCAAGCCATTATGCTTTACACATTAAAATTATTAAAGTGATATATGTGAACAATTCTCAATAAAAGGGGCTAGTAGTAAACAGAAAGAGAAAAACAAAGATGGATTAGATTAATTTAATATAACAACAATAAGATGTATGGAAGTGTACCTGATATCTGGAATACTTTTCCTCCCAAGAAAATCAACCAGCAATAGAATGAATATCAAAAGCTGCCTCGGAGACAAAGTACCTAGTAGGAAACCAAGCCATTCCTCCCAGCTACAAACGCAAGGCTAATCTGGGCACAGGAAGCAGGCAGCACCACAGAACCATTAGCAGGTGCCATGCTGAGATGCATTTTATACACATACATGGAAGGGAAGGAGGACTAGCTGGAGAATTTCTGGGTTACCGCAGACCTGCTGCCTCTCCAACTGACACCAGGTCAAGGTGAGCAACAAAAGAGAAGCTGCATGACCAACTGCTCCTCTGTTGAACCACTCTAGGACATGGCACCTGGTGGACTCCATGGGCAAGGAAAGGCAGAGACCCTCCTCGCTTGGACTCCACATTGCTCCTTAGGGTGTTCCCCTACCCGGGTCATCACCCCAAGGACTGGAGATGCTCAGAAAAGAAAGTAAACCAGGGAGTTCACATCTGAGAAGAGCTCACAGCAAACCATCTAAGTAATTCAATATTACGTTCTATAAACTTCAGCATTTAGTTTGAACTTTTCAAATTTGGTTTAAAAATAACTATTTCACTGATTTTATCCCTTTCAGGTGACAGGGACTAACCTACCCGGTTCTGGTCATCTCAGCTAATTCTCAGCACCCACTAGCCCGCCAATGACCCTGGATGGTTTCCTGCGTGTTCTTACTGAGGATTGATGTTCATGAGTGAAAACTTGCCTCTACACCCTATAACTCCAATGACTAGTTAAGACAATGAATCAACATCTTTAATTAAAGTGAATAAATATTTTAAAAGGACTTTCTCACACCTTACTTCATGTATTGTACTATCAGCACAAAAGAGCAAGAAGCTGAGCAAGCAAGATGAGGAAAGCATGGAAAACATGAGGGGTGGTTCTGGAAGCAGGGATTACTGCTCATCCTCAGTAACCACCTGCTTTGTTGTCACTGACAAGCCTAGTTAGTAAAACTAGAATACTTTGCAAAGACAGCAACTTGACCACTATATGCTAAAATGACCTACTGCATAGCTATCTAAACATAGCTTTTCTGGGTTGAGTCTCTTAATCACATCCTTAACAACAGACCCGCCTATATCCAATATGGTGGCCACTTGCCACATATCACTTTTAACTTAAATTATAAAATTAAAAATTTTTAGTTTCTCGTCACAGCAGTCTCAATTTCAAGTGTTCTCATAGCCATGTGTTGAGTGGCTACTTTACTGGGACGGTGCAGATACAGAACATTTCTGTCATCACCAAAAACACCCTATTGCACTGAATTGCCTCAGACCAGCTGCATCCAGGTTGGTTCTGAAGGGGATACACAAAGCCCATTCAGTGCTAAGGAGGTTTTGTCTCCACCACTGGCAAACAGCTTCTGAAGCCAGATGGGATGTTCCCACCCATTGTAAGGATGTTTGCAAACCAACTTTCCAATAACCATAAAGATTTTAAACAAGTTACTATGGAGTAATTTTAGATAATAAAATGAACATAAAAAGTATTCATAAAAGGACCTTCATAATTCAGACAAAATGAGATCTCAATTAAATTTTAAGAGGGGGAAAAAAACATACTTCTTTTGGAGAAACATTCTGATTTTAACTTTTCTTCTTGTGCTTCAGTGGCCAACTCCCAGGAGATACACTGAGATGACCCTGCATTCCACACACACCGGATACCAGGGCCTGCTGCCAGACAAGCAGCTTCACTCTGGTGCGCTTCACACTGCTCTGAGGTAAACACTAGGATGTCACTGAGGAGGAGACTGTTGAAACCACCAAACACATACATGGTGCTAAAAGGGGAAAAAGAGAGAGAAGGAGGTTACTGAAAAGTCATGCAACCATGTCTGATACAGTTTTGTAATCTTCAGAGAAATCTTACACATCAAAAGTCCAGCAAGAAATGATTTTTCAAGGTCTCAAAAAACATTCGGATCCCCACCCCTCTGAATTCAAACTTTTCATCCTGGCCTGTGATGATCCAGACTGGTTCCAATAACCTACCTACTTTTTACCAGCTACTACATTTTAAAGTTCTCATAATAACAAGTGACTTTTAACCATGATTCTCTGGACTATTTTAGTGTTAACTAACATATTTTAAAATTAAAAGACAAATGTATTTCTCACAAACACATAACTCTACATTACATGCTTCTAATATATGCTCTTAAATATTAAAAATAAAAATGTACCATGTTAAAAGCATAAAGACTATCATTATAACTGTATAATGAATACATAGGCCAATAAGTAACAGATAAAAGTGTGTATGGAAATTCAGTGCACAGTAAAAGTGGCATCTCAACTAGTGGGGAAAAGCTGGATTTTTCAGCAATGTATACATGAGGTTATTTACTACAATATTACTGAAACATTTCAGTGGTAATAAGATAAACAATTCAGTGTTATAAAATAAACAAATAAGGGAAATATAAAACTGAATCCAGTTCTCACTCTCTACATCAAGATAAATTACAAATGGATTAAAGAACTGCCTGAAAAGAAAATAAACCACAAAAGCACTGGAAAAATGCATGGGTTAATTTCTCCATAACTTGAGAGTAGAACAAAAAATCACTGACTTAAAATCTGAAGGTAATTAGAACAATAGAAAAATGTGATCCTATAAATTAAAGGAACTTTTTGCATAGAAAGTAATGCTGTAAACAAAGTAAAAGGCAAATGATGTTATGAAAAGATTATTTATAACTTATGTTACAGGAAAAGGAATATCCCTGAAACAGAGTTTCAGCAAGTTTGTAAGGGCAAAATGCAAATGTGTGTAAAGCACATGAAAGATGATTTCCTTCAGTCACAAGAGAAATGCAAATTAAATTACACTGAGGTATCGTTTCTCACCTAAAAACACAAAGTTTGGCAATATAAATACCAATGAGGTAGTGGCGAATCAACAACTCTCATGCTTTGCAGCTGGGCATATAAATGGCACAAATTTATAGAGGGGAATGTGGTTCATTTATCTTTTGAAATGGAAATCAAATTAATATAAGTCGACCACAAAGATACAACAGCAAAAATACAAAAATAAGTATACATGAGGTTATTTACTATAACAATGATAATAATAGCAAAGACTCAAATAAGCCAAAATGTCCATCAGTTGGGATGTGATGGATAAAGTGTGATACATCCACACAACGAAATACTTGGCAGATGTAAAAAGATGGTGTGATCTCCAGGATACATTATTATCCTGGGGGGAGGGGAGAAGGAAATGCAGAGAAAAGTAGTATATAGAACATGCAACCATATGTCTATTGGTAGGTTGAAATCAAGCATTCGCACACAAATTCATTTTTTACTTTAAAAATAAGAACAAAGTTTCCCTTTGTCTTCTTAAAAGACTTAAAAAGTAATGACCAATCCAGGGGAAAAGAATCTGCCTAGTGGTATCTAGAAACCACTCTCCCTAAGCACTCAAAAAAAAACAAAACCAACTAACAACAATGTCAAAATCCCAAACCTGGGACTCTTTAGAGAGAAATCTAATTTCATATCTGGGATAAGAAATATTCCAGATGAGCCTGGAAGATCTTACCATATCAGAAAGAAAGGAAGAAGAAGGATAGTATCAAAAAGGCTCATAAGGCCTCCCTGGTGGCGCAGCGGTTGAAGCGCTGGTTGCGAAGCTGCCCGCAGCCTTCTGCAGCACCGGTTCGATCCCCGGCTGCTCCCCGGTCAAGGGGAGGTTAAACATGGCGCGCAGACCTCTCCTGCCGCCCGCTGCTCCCCTCAGCAGTGTACTTCGGCCTTTTATCTGCCTGCTCTGCTCCCCGCTCTGGCTCTGGTGAATTCTCTCACCCTCCCGCGCTTCTGACTGTACCAGTGCTTGTATAAATAAATAAAAAATCTTTAAAAAAAAAAAGTTTTAAAAAAAATAAAAAAAAAAAAAAAAAAAAAAAAAAAAGGCTCATAAGCTAACAAGAAGGTTGGTCGATGGTCAACATTTGAAATTTAATAGTAATAAAAAAAACTATAATGGATTGAAATACTGGTATTTTTAAATCCCTACATTCATACTGATACATGTATTCTTCCAAAAAGAAAAATCTATTTGTCATCTTTGGAGAAGAAACAAGTTTATCATTTTTAAAATTGGTAAACAAAGTGATTTTGCCAAAATATTCAAGCGAATCTGATCAAGCTAATTTGCAGGAAGTTCAGGAGAGAGACCAGTATGTTATTCAAAGCATGAGGATACAATCATCAAAGTCTAAACTACAGAAAATGATAGGTCAAGCAACACAGCTCCTTTAACAAGTAAGGGAAAAAACAGCATGGGGGTATACAGACGATGAGGGACTTAAAAGACATTTCAACCAATTGCAATATATGGATATTATTTAGATACTCACTTGAACAGATTAAATTTTTCTAAATGATGAGAAATTAGGAAACTTGAACACTGAGCACTGAGTGCTATTAAGGAATTACTATTCACTTCTAAAAGTATGATAATTGTATTGTGGTTGTGCTTTTTAAAAAGCCTTTGAAAGAAATCTGAAAGATACCCAGTCAATCCTCATATTTGCAGATTCCATATGTGCAAATTTGTCTACTTGCTAAAATTATTTCTAACTCCAAAGCCAATATTCGCAGTGGTTTTGCAATCCTTCACAGCTATGTGCATGCACAGAAAAAATTTCAGTTGCCCAGCACGCACATTCCCAATTGAGGTTGAACAAGGTAATGCTCAGCTTCTTGTTTGAGTTCTTGTATTATAGACAAGTGTCCATTTTGTGATTTGTTTAGTGCCATGTTTTTCTTCATGTTTGTTCTCTATCTTGGTGATTTTGCTATTTAAAATGGCCCCCAATAGTAGTGCTGAAGTGCTATCTAGTGTTCCTAAACACAAGGGCTATCTAATGTGCCTGATAGGGAAAAATCCGTGTGTTACATAAATTTTGTTCAGGCAGGAGTTACAGCACTGCTGGCTCTCTGCTCAGTGTCAAGGAGTCGACAATATATATCAAATCAGGCGTCAATAGACAGAACCACGTAAAACTAGGTTATGAATTGGTGGTTAGTTGATGAAAACAATGTGAGGGAGCAGAGGCTCACAGGAACCTATACCTTGAAGCAATAATTTAATATTTTCTAATTAATTCAGTATTTGTGGTGACTTTATTGACCATAACTATACTGCAAATAATGAAAATCATCTGAATTCTGAAATAGAAACTGATGAACTCATATGCTGGGGAGCTGCTTCAAAGTAACCTGAATAAGTTAGGGTGGCCATTAGTTGATGATTCCAAGATGAGTGATGGGCACATTAAGTTTTATTACACTGTATTTATTATACTCCCTCTACTTTTGTGTTTCAAATTTCCATAATAAAAAGTTATGACTCTCTTTCCAGGGGCGTAGGGAGGAACAACGTAGTACATGATGTATCTGCCATTTTGCCTAAATCTCTTTTCTATTTCAAGGATCACACTGAATTTCTAGCACTGAATAACATTACAAATGGGTCTGTTATCTCCTACATATTAACAAGTAATAATGAGTTTCATTTTGTTTTTAGTCTAAGGGTGAAAAGAAATCTTTGCAAGTCATTGGAAAGATCTATTTCTAAAAAGAATAAAATGCAAACTATTGTATCTACTTATTCATTCCCAAGTAACTATTTGGCATATACTATGTATGATAAAATCTCTGGTCTCTCTCTTTTCAGCCTGGAGAGTCAGCCAAAAGCTCTGTTCCACCTCTCAGCTGCCTCAACTGGATGAGAAAACTCCTGCAGGCTGAAGAAATTCAATTAATCTCTTTTTTTTTTTTGGTGGGACCCTCACCGGTGGCCGGGGACCGAAATGGTGCTGCAGAGGCTGCGGACAGCCTCGCAACCCAGCGCTCAACCGCTGTGCCATCTCTTTGAATACTATTCATCTCCCAGTTTCTACCCAATATTTCCTCATTATCTTGCTAGGTCTTCACTGTATACTTTTCAGTTGTTCAGTAAGAGACTTTGTGGCTGGATATTTGTTTATCCACATTCATAGCAGCAATTATCTGTAATAGCTAAAAGGTGGAAGCAATCCAAGTATATAGGAATAAGCGGATGAGTGGGTGAACAAATCAGTCTTAAAATGCTATTGTGGAAGGCCAAAGCCAGCAAGGTTATCAAAGTGATCCAGTTTGTATCATAGAGCACACCGGGCCATACCTGCCACGTATGTGACACCTCTTTTGTGTCGTTTACTGGGACATCCTCAATCCTGTCAATCACTGTGCCAGATTAGAACTTGAACAAGAGGTAGGCCAGAGGTTGTACAGACAGGAGACGACCCTAGCCTTAAGTATCTGAAGCTAAGAGAGCTTTTGTGGCAGAGGATTTGTGCTTCTCTTATTGAGACTTAAAAATGGAAAATAAGATCAATAAGCAGAAGATACAGAAAAACAGACTCCAGAGAGTTTGAAGAATTTGTTATAACTAATGCCTACAGAAAAGGAAGACACTTCCTTCTTACGTGAGTTTCCAGTCCTGGCCATGTGTAAGTGTTTACCAGACCTTTACATAGTCAAAGGGAATTACCTGCATTAAGTGGGAATTTGGAGCAGGAAAATTCACGGATCTCTTCCAACTCTGAGATCCTACCATCTGCTAGAAAGGTCAGTACTAACCCACACTCAGATATCAAGTAATTCCCTCAAATCGATAGGTGGTTAGATTAATAAAGATTTTGTGACTTTCTAAGAATTTGTTGCTATATCTCAAAATAGTTACATTTCAAGAACTAAAAATGAACACTGGGTTTAATTTCTAATTTCATGCAGGCTTCTTTAGTATCACAGTAAGCAGTCCATTAAGCTGTCAACTTGTTGCTTAAACCAAGTCATTACAGTTGGCACTCTACCTGACTAGGAAAGGAGAGTTTTGAAAAAAAAAAGGAGAACGGGTACTCAGGTAGGCAGAAACATTAGAGAACAGAGATGGGAAGAATGCGAGGCTGGTGTGCCCCAGTTTCCCACTAGAAGTCAAAATCCTTCCATTTTAGTCTATACCTATCAAACATTAGCAAAGTAAAACTGTATTTATTGGTAAATTTTAAATTTTCTGCTGAGTGATTACTTTATAAAATATGTCCTCTTTTTCCAATATGTGAGAATCTGAATTCTGTCATCTCTTCCTTTACCACAGCTCCAAGATGGGTTGCTTTCTTCCCTTTCCTAACCCAAGTTGAATTACTTCCATCTATCCTGCATCACCACAACAGAACTTCTGACAGTCAAAGGGATCCTAACATAATATAGGCATTATAGCATTTAAATAATTTCAGGTTTGATAAGGCCTAGAATTTTAAAAGGTGAAGTAGACAACAGTGTACCGATAACAATCACAGTAACAGTGAGAAAAATTAATAATACAATGACAAAGATTGGGCTGTTTTAACAAATTAAAAATCTTTCAAGCACCCTGTAACCAACAGGTAGGTGGCCACTCTGGATCCCCCTTAGAAGGCAGAGCCTTCTCCCTTCTCCAGAGGCAGATTCATGAAGGACTCCTTTAGTTTGTGTCAGGCATTTTCAAACGATGCAATGAAATACAGTGCAGACTTCAGATTATCCAAAGACTGGATAGATTTGATCTACCTGGAGCTTCCGAATCTCCCCAATTCTGTTCCCTTACTTTATCTGCTTTCTGAAGTGCCTTCTCTCTTGTTCCCCCCAAATATTTCCTTACTAGTCAGACACAACTACAAAAAACCAACAACCTAGAACAATAGCAAACAGCAGCGGGCATAAACAGTAACAGCACGTAATGTAAGGGATGGCACGAGACAGCAGACTCCCACATGCTAATAAAATCACATCAACAAACATGGCATTAGAAGTAATTCAAGGGCCTCCCCAGTGGCGCAGTGGTTGAGCGCTGGGTTGCGAAGCTGCCGGCAGCCTCTGCAGAACGGGTTCGATCCCCGGCCGCCAGCAAGGGTCCCACATGGCGCGACAGACCTTTCCTGCAGCTCTCGCTGCTCCCCTCAGCAGTATATTTCGTCAGTCTGCCTGTTCTGTTCCCTACTCTGGCTCTGGTGAATTCTCTCACCCTCCCAGGCTTCTGACTATACTCAGTGCTTGTATAAATAAATCTTTAAAAAAAAAAAAAAGAAGTAATTCAAATCCCATCAAATATTTCAAATATAAATCAGGCAATTCCTACCTACATAATTATGTGAAAAACTAATGGGATGAATATGTGCTAGCCCACGCCTCCCTATTTTACTTCATTTTCATTTTAAGCACAAGAGAAATGGAACAAACACTTTTTTCCCAGTTACCTGTTGTGTAAGACTGCTGAATGGCCAAACCTGTTGACATCATGGTGGAGATCAGGTCTGGGAAGCACGGACCAGCGATCACAAGCTAGGAGCAAGAAAAACACTTCAAAAGGGACTGCCATTCACAATCAGTTGGAACTGGCATTTTCTTTGAGAAGAAAGTTGCAGCAAGCATAGCCACACAAAATGCACCTCAGGTTTTCTATATCACATTGTTATTTCAGCAGCAGTGGGGCGTGGAAGGGACGCAGGACCACATGACAATCCTAATTAGCGAGTGGGCCGGACATCTACGATACCCACGTCACTCTCCCTGTCACCCATCACTTTTACCCACTAGAATGGTTTTAAACTTAAGCAAATTTGACATTCTTCAAAGCTTAGGTAAGTAGAACAAGTAGGTTTCATAACTATTTTCTACTCTTCTTTCTATGGATTTGCCCAAGCTTAGAGTTAAAATGGGGAAATAGAGGTGGAAAATTAAAACCAAAAACCATGTTTTCCAAGTATTGTCTAATTTTTTAAAAGTCTTTTCCTATATCCTCCAGATCTACTAACACTTTCTGTTGCTGACTTTACAGTGTTCCCAAGGGGCCAGTCTGGAGGTCCCACCTCAAAAAGGTTTTCTCTGACCTTCATGCCCTCGAGTTAAGGGATGCTTGTAAGTGTTCTCGCATATTCCCTCAGCAAGAAACACCCTGAATTGCATTGATAATTTGACTGCCTCTTTAACCGTGAGGCCAAGGGCTGTAACTTATTCATTTTATAATCCCCAGTGTACAAGCTTAGTGGCTGGCACATAAATGTCTATTGAAAACGAACATCTGATGCTATTTAAATAAAAGAACCTAGTATTTGTTTTGCATGAACAAATACTGCCCTCTTCTGGTCAACCATACTACCACACCAAAATTTGTAAAATTCCAGGTCAGAGTACACAGCAAGATTGTGTGAAACCAGTTTCCAGGGAGGGAGATAAAGCTGTATTGAAACCAATTTAACACAATGCTGGTGGTCATAATTACATAACACTAATACATAAGGCATCTGTAATACAGGAGAGTCAGTTACCTCAACTGCCCCGCAAAAATTATCATTCAGCCAATTAAAGGGAATAACAAAGAATTTAATATAAAAGTAATGCTTTTTAATCAATGTTCATTACCCAACACAATCTAAAAAAATATCTAACTCTTTCAAAGGGTTTATTCATTTATAATGGTGATATTTTCAGTTTCTTTTAAAATACTGCTTATAGACAAAAAAGATTCTTGAAGCTAAACTGTCTGGGAAACTTACCAATGTCGTAAACCATGAAATCTGAAGAGAAGCACTTGGCACCATGGCTCATGGATGTGTCATTATGTGTGTTTCCTCCAAACACCAGCATGGCCCCACTCACTATCACAGCTGTGTGCAAGTAACGGAAAAATCGGCTGTCCTTAAGAATGGTCCTTTTGAGTTTATTTAAAAATAATAAATATAAGGTTAGTCTCTTAGAATAATGATCATTTGCTAGTGCAAACAAACATTTTAACTTCAAACCCAAATGTGCAAACAGCTGCAGACTTTTCCTCATATAAAAGTCACTTTCTCGATAACAAACAAATGTAAAATCGTAAAGACCTATGAGAATTCTGACAAACTATATTATGAGCCTTAAAATTGTTCATAACCCTATGGCCCTACAATTTCAGCTTGTGAACTGAAATTATAGAATTTTAGATGAAAGATTACACATAAAACGTTATTAATAAGATATAATTTAGAAACCAAAACTTCCAATTTGTACAGACTCAGTGTACCCATATGATGGACTGTTACACAATCATTAAAAACAATTTTTATGATAGAACATAAAATGGTATTCATACATGTTCTCAAATATGTGAGGAAATGTGAAAAGGCAGATAAACCATTGCTTTGTAATGACATTACAAGTTGTTGAAATCTGCTTTACATACACAGTTCAGAGTGAGGGGAGCTCTAATCTGTTAGGTACTGAGACCACCTGTTTGATGGTTTCATAGAATGGTATCAGCTACTGACTAGAAGGATGACACACCTTACTCATCAAGAACAGGTTAAGTAGGTATAGCCTACTTAATTACAAAAATGTGAATAAATAGCTATGTAGAAAAATTTATTCCTTAGGATTCAGAAAGCTAAAATTTTTATCCTGAGTGCATAAAAACTGAAAATCAGTCAAAAAATACCAAGGATTTTCTAATCAACTTATTACAAAACCGTGAGACAAAGCAACTGCTAGCTACTTTATTACCTTCTGTTTATTTCTTGATTTCTCTATTTACAATGCTGAGCAGAAAAATCGGCTAGGTTTGAAAATCTAAATATAGCGCAGTATTCTCTACCAATTGCCTCTCCAAAACTCACACCTTAAAATGAAAGCTCAAGAAAAAGCACCCACCACATCTGCTTGTCCACATCATATCTGTAGAGGTCATCGGCAAGTCGGTATTTATTGGCACTGAAAGCCTTGTAGCCTCCGTGAACATACAGGGCCCTCGTCCTATGGTCATAAACACTGCTGTGGCCATAGCCTCCTTGGACAAGGGCACCATTGGTGTGTAATATGCTCCATGTGTTCTTATCTGGAAAAAGCAAACAAAGGCAAAAATTGCAGGCTCTTCGCTAACACTTAAAATATCCAAAAAGCTTAGGACAAGAAAAGAGATTTCAGGAGACTTGATACAAACAACTTTTTTCTAAAAGTCTTTTTATTTTTAAAGGAAAGCCACCTAAAAATCTTGTAACAAAGCCAGGTGGCCAAAAGCCCACCTTTAATGTTCTGATGTTCTAATATGCCTTGTGGGAAAAGAATTACAGTAAATTTAAGTCTTTGATGCCTCCCAATTGAACACTTAATTTCCCATGACCTTTAGAGGCCAATACACAGATGTACTTCATAAGCCTACTTCCTCAAAATATCAATTATAGCTGGTGTACCTACGCCACAATAACAGATCTAATAGTTTAACCAAAGGAAGATTACATATTCCAGGGAAATCACACCAGTCTCTAAAGGGCTATCCAAATAGATTTTCTCCAGAATACTTATTTTGAACCATTTTAGTTTATTTATTTAATTTTCAACACCCACAGCACGTTAGTGCCATCTCTGGCTCCTTGCCAAATTAAGACTTGCCAAATAGCTATCACAGTATAGCATCAATAATCTAGATTTTTTATTGGCAATACATCAATGTTAACCGCATTTCAGGATAAAAGTACTGAATCAAGGTTAGGTGAAATCTGGCTAAACAGTCAAAAGGGTAAAGGCTTTAAATCTGACATTCAAAAAATATCCACTGGAAAAAAAGAAACCTACCCAAGTCATATTCCTGCACATTGCTTATATATCCATAGAGAGGGCAGTGACCAAAGATGACCAGCATTACCACGCGGCCAGTCTTCAGCATGACGATATGGGCCGAGTGTCCCACCACCGCATACTGTTCCTTTGCTTTCGGCGTCAGCATCATCCATGACTCATTGTGAATATGAAATACTCTCAACTCATTGGTCACATTTCCCGTTGAATCAATTTTTCCTCCATACATGTAAATTTTATCCTAGAAAACAATGTAAACAAAATTCTAAAAAATATCCCTGAGAATAGAAAGGATCAGTCCAAATTATCAATATTATTCTTAGCTTAAAAAGTGTTAATGAAATGCACCTTTCAGTAAATTATTGGGAAAAGGAGCAAATAAAATAAATCACATTCTACATCTCTAATACCACCACCTTTCTTGGGTTTCCTCACAGAAGATCTTTTACGATATAAAATGACCTAGAAAAATGAAGCTGAAAAGTTCTCACATCCTACCAGAAGCCACAAAAACAAGGAAATGAAAGTGATTATTCAGTTATATTGCAATGTGGCTATTCTTGACAAAACTTGCTAAACATTAACTTTTAACCTCTTAGTACCACAATCATATCCCAGTATAATTTCAGTCTAAGATTTAAAATCTCGTAGGTTCAATTAGTTTCAACTTTAATTTCCACCTGTAACTTTGCTAGTTATATGCCCATTCAAAATAGAAAGATTTCTCCCAACTTAAAAACCAACACTGAAGTCAAAATCAGAGAGAGAGAAAGTGGCATGGTGATTGCCTGTGCTGGGGGGTGGGGAGTTACTGTTTTAATGGACACAGAGCTGCAGCTTTACAGGATTAAAGAATGCATTTTATACCACTGAAGTGTACACCTAAAAAATGGTTAAGATGGTCAACATTGCACTTTATACACACACACACCACAAACACACACATATATATATTTCACCATTAAAAATTTGAGGAAAGGGCCTCTCCGGTGGCGCAGCGGTTGAACGCTGGGTTGCGAAGCTGCCCACGGCCTCTGCGGCACCGGTTCAATCCCCGGCTGCTCCCCGGCCACCGGAGGAGGGTCCCACATGGCGCACAGACCTCTCCTGCTGCCCGCTGCTCCCCTCAGCAGTGTACTTCGGTCCTTCTGCCTGCTCTGTTCCCCGCTCTGGCTCTGGTGAATTCTCTCACCCTCCCACACTTCTGACTGTACCCAGTGCATGTACAAACAAACAAACAAATAAATAAATAATAAAAACATGCCTCTATAAAAATAAATAAATAGATAAAAAAAAAATTTGAGGAAAAAAATCTCAACACAATAGATTTTCATCTACATAATGTGAAAAGTGAGTGTGGAAAAGCTGAGTTTCTAGTTTAGTACCATAGCAGACATTTTACCTTGTGCAATGCTAACGAATGGCCGTATCTGCCAACCACATTGTTCACAGAATGATTCAGTGTAAGCCACTCCCTAGAAGCAAGGTCATACCTACAAAATAAACAGATTATGTTTTTGAGATGACAAAACAGGAAAAAAAAAAACACAACAGATTACAAAACAGAATAGGTCATATTCTTTCATTTGTGATAAAATCAGTGTGAAGATGCTCATTAAATCTGCCATAGATATTGGGAGGTACTCTGGCAAAACCTAAACTTATCTAGGTTTCCTGGATCATGTGAGAACTCAGGAAGATGGGGGCTGTGTTACACAGAACAGCGTTGGGACAAGAAAGAAAGAAAACCTGCAGCAAAACCTAACACTGCCAAAAACCTCCTCTACACATGGTCCAAAATCACTTGAAGTTTGCATTATACTCCAGGGACTTAAATGTTCATTACCATAGCTTTCCTTTCATTAAAGACATGTACCAAAAAAGGAAGACTAATTAATAAGTAAAAGAAAATTCCTGACCTTTCATTTTCTTTAACTGATTTCTAAAAAATCCTATTTTCAAGAAAACTAGAACGTCATTATAGCATTTCAACTATACTATGAACATATTTGAAGATCTTTAAAATATAAAAATGCCCAAAAGACAATCATTTATACTCTTACACTGCAGTATTAATCACAATCAATATTTTAGATTATTCATTGTTTCTGAGGAAAACACCACTATCGATTTTCAATTGAAATCTGAACATTTTGGGTCTCATGACATGAAACTCTAGATCTTATTTAAGTCTTCTATTATAGCAAGGCTCCTCTGATATCACCCCAGTGGGGAGGAGGGAGGTTAACTCATAACTGCTGTTAAGCTAAGCAGGAGCTAAAATTTAGGCTCTATGTGACCTCCACTGATGTCTTGGGTGGGAAAGACCTCCTTATTTCTTAGTGGAAAGGAAAGTCCTAGCTCCCTAATGGCCTTCTCTGACACTGTCCTGGTGGGGTTGGGAGGAGGCCAGTGGGAATGTCTCACTAAGTCCTTGCAAGGGTGGAAATCTAAATTCTATGCTCACTCTTTGCTGGCAGGGATGGGTGGGGCCAAGTTCTGTGGTCTTTGGCTGGAGTAGAGAGGTTATTGTCTAAAAGCTTTGTCTTGCTAAGTTGTCCCTTTCCTTGCCCTTGAACTAGAGACAGCAGGTTTTTCTTGGGGCTTTTTCAGCATGGGCTGAGTTTTCCAACAAGTCTGAGCTATATGACATAAAGAGAAAAATCTTCAAACGTACCATTATGTCATTCTTTGAGTCCCTAGGGACATAATCAGATTGCCTTCTTCCTTCTACCTTCCAGAGTTTTCTCATCTTTGTTTTATATATAATGTACAGGGTTTTTAACTGTACTTACAAAGATTAAGGGAAAGTGACATTCATTTCTTTATGATTTAAAAAAAATTCCTTTTTTATATTTTATTTTTAAAGGTGTATCTGCTGTAGTTTATTCTGCATTCCTTCTTGGTTTGTTTTCTATTTTGAAATTTTAAAATCCCGTCTCCTTTGTAAATTTTTCTAGTTCTGATAATGTTGTTCTTTCACATCCTATATCATTTTCTTATTGCATATCAGCTGATCTCAGAGTACTAAGTATAATTTTAATCAGTTTTGTGAACATATTTTTCTACTACATGTTCATGTATGGAGTGATGTTATTCTACTCCTTATTCTCTTTTTTCTTGTAATAACTTTCTATGCAATTTGAACTTGATATTTTTCTTGGTATTTATTCAATCTTAAGTAAAATTATTTTTCCCTGAACTTTACCAGGGGAGGCTTGGTTTGGGTGAGTTTTTCTAATTTCTTAGCTCTCTTCTGTTGCTGCAATGTAGTGTTCAAATACATACAGTTGTCTTGTTAAAGATCTCTTGGCTCCGCTCCACTCCCTAAATGTTATCTGGAGTTTCTTTTACTTTGTCTCTACTGCCCTTGTCCTGTTCAATCTGAATTCTATTCCCAGAAGCTTCTCCTCAATGTGCAACTTTGTCTTCAAAGAGAGTTTGGAGGTTCTGAGCCCTTAAACTCATCCCACCACCAGACTATGCAAAAACCTTTCCAATTCCAGCTGCTATTCAGTTGTTGGTTGCTCTATTGCTCCCCTTTGCTTATTCCTGTATAGATACCATAACACACAGGTCTTAGAGTCAAGGGTTTAGCCCCACCCCTTTGTGTAGATTCCTTCTGGCCAAGTTTTGCTATAGATGTTGCGCATGTGGTTTTTAATCCTAGATAATCCTAGATTATCTTGTGTGTTTTCCTGTCTATATCTGGGGGGAAATTCATAAACTGTGCCACATTTCCAGAATCTCTTAAAGAACAGATGCTGGTTTTTTATTCCTCAATAATCTTCATTAATACAAAATGCTTAGAAAGAATTTCCAGGTCACAAATCAACACAACTGTTCATAAAAGTCTCTCAAGTCAATTACCAGAGTTAATTCCACAGGGACAACATACATTCTCCTTTCAAGATTAGCAGCATGAAACCAGCAATAGATGAAGAACCCTGGGAAGTATCAGACAATGCCATACATTCTACTAGCAAGCTCTAAATTCTTAACATTTGACTATAGAAATACAATTAAGAGATGAAGAAATACCTTATGTATCTAGAACCTACTATGTATACCTAACATCAACAATACAAAATAACAAAACAGCAAAAAAGATTAACTATTGCTTGTTACAATACTGATTTTTTGTGGTTCCCAATTTCAAAAGCAAAGACTATATCAAAACAGTCTAGAACACCACAACAAAATATTAACATGGATTTTCCTCAGGTAGTGGAATTACTGATGACTTCTTTTTGTTCTTCTTATCACTATAATAAATTTTCAAAATAGAGAACTAAGCTTCTTGCAAAAACATTTAAAGCAACTTACGCTAGAACCATGTTGTAATCTGAGTGGTTGAACATATATCCTCCAACAACCCACATTATATTTCCATTGACCACAGCTTTATGAGAGGCTCTGGGGAGCTTTAGATTAGAATATTCCTCCCGAGTCCAAAATGACTGGTTAGCTGGTATAGGAATTGAACATCCAGGACCTAATAAAACATTATAAATTAGCTTCACAAAATGCAGTTTTAAATCTTTTGGATTTCAAATTTATTCATGTAAATGTAACAAATATCTGAAGAATACTGTATTTCATTTAGCATGTAAATGTCCAACAAAGTGTTCTAATATGTGCCTTCAATTTACTCAAGCTAGTGACCAAGGATGATCCCTGATAAAATTCAAAATCATATGCTAATGATGGCCTGAGCATATCCAGTTTAGGATTTTTTGGTAATGAAATACTTGCTTAAGCAATACTCGAAGGACAGAGCAGACAATGGAATGATTAATTCAAATGAAAGGCTAAAATGTAAAAATGTGTCCTGGGAGTAATAACACAAACTATCCATTTCCTGGAAAATCAAGACACTCCTTTTGGGGAGGGTTGGCCGCTGCTGCAACATTTGTACAGTAGAAGGTACTCAAATACTTCAATTTTTTTAACTCCTTAATGTAAGCCAAATGAACAAACTGAAGCATTTAAACAAGCACACTTCCTCTCAAAATAGGTATCCCAAGGAATGGGTAAAGGTATAAAGAAAAAAAAAAAATCACTAGATCAGTAAGAGCTGTCATCACCCAGTCCTTTAAGAATTTGCTAATGCTTCTTTAATAATCTATATCTGTGGATAATTCCTTTAGCTGACAGCTTGAGGATTCTACTGTATAAATAACTCCAATTTTCTCTCAATTTATAGAAAGCTTTTGAGGAGATACTATTACTGTCAGCTCTTGTCCCACCCTCCCACCCCCCAACTTAGTTTTCCTCTGTCTTCTTATGGCTGAAACCAAGTTCTCCAACTTTTATGAATGAATTGCAAAGAATGTCAAGTCCCTCCACAATTCTCAAGAGACCGCAGTCCCACATCTACAAAACTCAAGATTTGTAAGAAGCTCAATCTTTATTGAGATTTAGCTTACTGAGGTAACTTAAATGCTACCTGACTAACATAAATGGTTTAAGTGCTAGGAATACCACAAATCTATAATTTATTCAACTAGGAACATCCTGTAAAGGGAAAGTAAAAAAATGGAAGATGTTCTTACCCTGCCACCCTGAGTAACAGGAGCATCCTCTGCCATCACCTGATTCACAGATGCCTCCAAGAGGAAAACCACAGTGATTTACACATTGAGGAATGTCACATGCTTCACCTTTCCAGTTTTCAGAACATTCACATTGAACAGTGTTGCTGCTATTGCTGATCTTACATTCTCCTCGGCCTGAGCAATTGTTTGGACACATGTCAAAACTATAAAAACAGTGGTGGGGGGGGTGGTTAAATCAACACGAAGCAACACTTCAATTAATTTAGCAAAACTTCCTCCTACACAGGGTTTAAGGATCTCACTATCTCTGTAGTTCATTCACAAGCATAACTGTAGTACTTACCATTCAGCCTAAATGGGGTCATTCAACATTACAGAGCTTTGGTACATAATAAAATTAAATCAACCCTGTGGATTCTCACAAGAAGAGACATGTTAAAGAAATTACAAGGAAAGAAGAGATTCTTGCAAAACTGTCTGGGCTTAGATTCTCAAGGGTGAGATGAGTATCCTATTCCTGGCAGCTCACAAGAGATGAACATTACAAAATTGCCAAATGCACGCTTGCAAATTTGGGAAGGAAAAAGCTAAAACAGTGCACTTCATCCTCATGGTACATATCCCTTAAGACTATTGCCGGGGTTGGTGTATTCAACATTTCTTAGTAAGTCTAGCTACTCATATCAGATGGGAGAAAAGGGAGGGCCAGTTTAATACAGGAGGTTAATTATAATGTGCTTCATAATACCGTGACTTAAGATAACTTACTGATAGCACTTTGAAAAGACATAATTCAGATTTTTTAAAAGGGAAATGATTGGACTATCAAGATACTTTATAGATTTCTTCTAAGGTCTATAAAGAGAACTAAAAAGAAAATTTTAGCAAGGCATATCAGAAAATTAAAAATCAGTTATATCAAGTTAATAAAATTCCATGCCTATATCCAAATATCAGTTTATACTACTAAAATTTTATAAGTTTAAAGTATTTTTATAATCTGTAATTATAATAAATGTGTATGTCTACTTTTCAACACCCAGTAAGATTAAATGAAAAAGAATAATTTTCTAATCCTAAAACAGTTTTAAAGACCTTATTACTATGAGTATTCATTTAAAAAGTTGAGTGACATTTAATTTTTCACATTTAATTTTTTTTTAAAGATTTATTTATTTTTATACACGAACTGGGGTACTGGCCAGAGATGCGGAAGGGTAAGAGGATTTACCAGAGACAGAGTGGGGAACAGAACAGGCAGATGGACCAAAGTACACTGCTGAGGGGAGCAGTGAGCAAGACAAGAGAGATCTGCCCCATCATGTGGGTATCATCCTGGCCGGCCGGGAATTGAACTAGCGCTGCAGAGGCTGCAGACAGCTTCACAGCGCTGTGCTCAACCCACTACGCCACCAGGGAGGCCCCATTTTATCTTTTTTATTGAGTATAATTGACACATAAAACAATGTTTTAGTTCTAGGTGTACATCACAAGGACTTGCTATATGTATATATTGCAAAATGATTATAAGTTTAGTAAACATCACCACATAGTTATATTTTTTTTTCCTTGTGATGAGAACTTTGAAGAGCTACTCTCTTAGCACTGCTACATATCAAAATGACCAGACAGGCAGCAGCAGCATCACCCAGATGCTGAGACTGAGAAAAACAGTTTCAGGCCATGGCTCTGCTGAACTAGGGGTTAAGTTCAAGAACCCATGTCTTAACAAGCCCCCCAGGAGGTTCCTATGTATGTGGTGTATGAAAAGCCCTGATTTACACCTGTATCGCCTGTCTCCCCATCTTCAGAGCCAAATTTCTTCACAGAGTATCCCACTCTCAATGCCACGAGTTTCTAATCTTCCATCCTAAACTTCCACAGCAGGCCCCTGACTCCACCCACTCCAGTTAGGGCCACCTAGGGCTTGCTCTGCTTCCTTAGCCTCACAGCTGTCAGTTTCCTCCTTCTTGAAACTCACTTCTCTGTGCTTCTATGACAACAAAGCACACAAACATTCCTCTGCCCCTCAGCTGCCTCTACTGCCCCTCTCCCTACTGTTCATAAGCTCCATAAGTCAGTCACACACTGTCCATGTGCCAATGATTCTCAATGACATCCTGACAACTCTTCTGAGCCCCAGATCCTAGTATTATGTCCTGGTTAGACAGCTACATTAATCCAACCAAACTCATCAGTCCATCCCTCAACCCAGCCTGTGTGCTACTGGTGTCATGAAAAATCACCGGCTAATACTGTGATAAGTTGCCTATGTGGCTACATCACAAACCCAATCAAGACAGAGACAACTTCGAATAGGCCTAAAAGAATCCTGAATTGGGCCTCCCTGGTGGCACATGGGATTAAGCACCATACTATGAGGTGATCCCTGGCCAGGCAGGGAGAAACCCACATGGCGAGGCAGACCTCTCCTGTCTCGCGCGCTGCTCCCCTCAGCAGTGTATTTCAGTCAATCTGCCTGTTTTGTTCCCCATTCTGTCTCTGGTGGAACCTCTCACCCACTGTATCTCTGGCCTGTGCCCAGCTCTTGTATGCATAAATAAATAAATCTTTAAAAAAAAAAAAAAAGAATCCTGAGATCTCAAGAAAATGGACAGAAAATAAACAGGAGTTTATTTTCCAGGAGTTGGCAAACTTATCATGTAAAAGACCTAATGGTAAGTATATTAGGCTCTGTGGGTAACACTAGTTATCACAGATTCCCTTGCTGATGGCATTTTATGAACTGAACTATTATGAAAATAAAACGTTCTTAAGAGGGAAAAAAGAAGATAAAAGAATCCTCTCTTTCCAACAAATTCCAAAAGCTGTGTAGTCTAAATTTCCTTTGTAACCTCAACTAAGTTATCATCAATGATCAACTACTGAGTACAAACTACTATTTGTTGAACTGTACTCAGCAATTCATGTTTCCACTCACTAGCTGGAAAATACTTCTCTCTTCCAGAAGCTCAACTGCAAAAGGACCTGGGGTGAAAAGGTCCCACCACTTTGATGACTTCTTTTACCTTTTCCTGATACTTTCGTCATTTATAAAAGGAGTAGAAAAGCAATGCCCATACCTCATGGAGTTTTTAAAAGAATGCCACATGAGAAGATCCATGCAAACTGCTTAGTACAATGCCTGGCACATGGTAAGCCCTCGATGTATTTTAGTCACTATGACTTAAATACAGTCTGTTGAGTAAATCTCGTGTATTATGCATAAATATCTTACTTGTACGTGATATTAAATCCAGTCAGATTATAGGCAGCATCACTGAAGAAATGTAGCAGGGCATAACCTGAAGTGGCAACAACCTCGGGCACAGTCTCGTTGCCATCTCTCTCCGGAACGATGAGGCCGCTGAAATGAAAGCACACTTCTTACAAAGGGAAGCACAGTCACAGGCACGTCCCATGGTGATACACAAATTCAGAATGGGAATTCAACTTTACAATTTAAAAATCCACTTCTGGGAAGAGGGGCGAATTCTGTGACAAATGCCCGGTGCTACGCCCCTAGTTCTGGAGGCGCCAGGGATGAGATCTAACGCTTCTGTCAGGCTCTTCTTTATTCCGAAAGGACTGTATTTCTAATGAGATTCAAAATCAATGGCCCTATTCTTTTTTTAATTTAATAAAACTTTTTATAATGCTCCTTTGAAAAACTGAGTAAACCTCCACCATCACAGAGCGTAGCAAACTTTACGAGCTCATGAATGCCAAATACATGCTGCTAAAAGACATGAAAGGCTACAATAACAATAAAAAAGCTTGATAAACAAACACCTAGAATCCCAACATATTAGGATCCTAATTCATTTTGCCTTATACCATATCACATCCTCTATTCTATTTTACAAGTAATATACCACAAGCATTTCCAATGACATTAAAAGCTTCTTGAAGCTTTGAGGATCTCGGTCAGAGTCTAATACACTGTTGTGTTTGTTGGGTTCCTGGAGAAGGAGAGAATTACTGAGTCATAGGCCTAAACAATGGCTTTCAGGCTCTTGATCCAGAATACCAACTTGCTTTCCAGAAGAGATATGAAATCCTGACTTGAAATTCCATCAATTGAGAATAAAAGGGTTCATCCCACTCCTGTCGGCAAAGAATGCCAGTTCTATTTTGGTTTTGCTAATAAATAAGTGAAAGTGATTTTTAAATTGTAGTTTTGAGTTTCTGCATATTCCTGAAGTTAATCATTTCTTCCTCTGTTTACCTGCCTTTTGCATTTCTTCAAATGCTCACATCTTTTGCCCAATTATCAATTTGCTATCACCACCATCATCTCATTCAGTAAAAGCCTAAAATGCTCACCAGGTCTTATATAATCTGCTCCATGCACACAGCCTCAACCAGTGAATAAGCACCTCACCTCATCTCCTATTACCCCCACTCAACCCCAGTCACACTGGGCTCTGCTTTCCCAGAGCACACAGCAGGTAAACTCACCCCTTAGGATCTGACAATCTAAAATGCCCATTCACTAAGTTGTAACAATTCTATTTCTTTGTAGAAGAAAATACTCCAAGACAAATATACAAAAATTCTCACTGCAGCGCTATTCAGCATAGCAGCAGGCTAAATATCACCTAAATGCTCATCCATACAAAGTTGGCTGAATGAGTCATTATATATCTGTAAGTCTATGAGGACGAAGGAGGAGCTCATTAAGGCAGTCTGATAGGTAGGAAAAAAACAAGTTGCAAAACAATGGGACTAGTATATGTTTACCTTTACATTTATTTACATAAATGCATATAAAAATGACAAAATGCAAGTGTAATATAGGCAGGGTATGAGGAAGAGGAAGAGATGGAATTTTCACTCAGTAAGTTTTTAATATGAAGACAACTCTAGGAATCCCAGGACTCTGAAGGTGCTTCTGGGGCTACGAACGGTGAAGCATTTTCCACTAAGTATTCAACTGGCAGATAATTACTAAGCACTAAGCCCTTACTAGGGAGGAAGCACTGCTGTAGGTCCCAGGAACAAAGAAGTCTCTGCTCTTACGGGGTTCAGATTAGAGAAACAACAAATAAGTTCAGATACATAGCCCTTCATAAAAAGGGTGTGTGTGTGTGTGTGTGTGTGTCGCAGGCAGAGATAAACACTGTCAGGGGAACAGAGCACAAGAGAAGATGCTACTTTAGAAAGGGAAGGCTTCTGCACAGGTGACATTTGATCAGAGACCTAAGCGAAGGTTTCAGCTATCATCGTGCTTCCATCAGTTTTATACACCAGAAATCCCTGAAATTCTGCAGGGGTAAGCAGATTTTCTAGGAGCAAGGCCACCTAGAAACAGGTATGTCAAAAGCCACCTTCCCATAAGAAATACTGGCATAGGAAAGGGCTGGGGGCATCAGTCACACGTATGATCCGGCATGAGCTTAGGCTTAAAGAGATGTGAGCACCAATACTCTCTTGCTCCATGTGACTAGGCATGTCACTGGCATCTCCAAGCCTCAGTTTCCTCAAATGTGCAATGGCAGAAACCTAACTACCTCACAACAATGTAATGAGGCTCAAACCGGTAAAGCAAGTGACGTGCTTAGCTTCACTGGGTAAGCTGGGGCTCAGTAAGGATGATGGCACTGTGAGGGAGTGGAGACGTACACAACGTGGGATGGGCAGAGAGAAGGACAGAGACCCGCAGAAGGGGCAGAAGGGTCATCTGCACTGGATGACCACTGTCCAGGAGAAAGGGGATCAACTTCCCACTGTCAGAGAGATATAGGTGTTTGCTTCTTCTCACTTCAAAAACTCAATACTGTGACAGCTTTGGGATATGTCACTTTCTCCCAGTGCGAAAATAAAACAACCGGTTTGTGACAAAAATAACCTCCACAGCAAATGACAAACACAGACTCAACCCAGTGCACAAGGAATGGAAGCCTTGTCAGGGAGGAAGTGACGCCCAGGCCTGCCTTTCACTCACCCTCGGCTGCCTCCATGGGCTTGACCCTGCCCCTCATAGATAAGTAAATGCAGACACCACTTAGGCTGCAGCCAGTTGCTCAACTTGAGCAAATTAAGAACTGCATGTCTTAGGGGTCTTCACAATCTTATGTTTTAAATACAGAGTAGCATGGTTTAGAGCCACTTCTAAAAATCACTGAACTAAGATATTTATTAAATTCAACCTAACGGGCCTCCCTGATGGCGCAAGGGGTTAAGCACCGCACTATGAAGCAAAAATGCAGCCTCTACAGCATGAGTTCGATCCCTGGCCGGCCAGAGAGAAACCTGCGTGGCGAAGCAGACCTCTCCTGTCTCGCCTGCTGCTCCCCTCAGTAGTGTGTTTCAGTCAGTCTGCCTGTTCTGTTCCCTACTCTGTCTCTGGTGAATCCTCTCACTCCCCCTCATCTCTGGCCTGTACTCTAGCTCTTGTATGCATAAATAAATAAATAAATCTTAAAAAAAAATTTAACCTAACAGTCCCAGGAACAGGTGGACTCTCTGAATAGCAGGGGCACAACCTGACTTGACCAACAGCAATGAGTAAGTTTACTTAATATCCCTCAACCTGACATACCTGTCTTCTTGCAGGACTACATCCTTAAGGGCAGAGAGGCGGAGAGGAGGCAGGATTCTCAGCTGGGAGTTGCAGTCTGGCAGAGCTCAGGCAGGATCTATACTTGGACTAGTGAAGGAGGGTCGCTGAACACGGGAGAGATGCCTGCCTTTGACTACCTTTTCCCAGTGTGCCACGGTTTGACCATGGCTTCCTTTGGGTGCTAACCAGAGCAGACCTTACTCCTGCTACTACTTGCACAAGGCTTCCTCTAACAGCTCTTTACCAAGTCTAAACAATGATGTCATCAATGTATGACCTTTTATAAATTAAAAAAAAAAGCTCAAAAGAATAATTTTCTTTTCTTTTTTTTTTTAAAGAATTAGAAATATTTTTTTAAAGATTTATTTATTTATTTATTTATACAAGCACTGGGTACAGTCAGAAGCGCGGGAGGGTGAGAGAATTCACCAGAGCCAGAGCGAGGAGCAGAGCAGGCAGAAGGACCAAAGTACACTGCTGAGGGGAGCAGCGGGCGGCAGGAGAGGTCTGCGCGCCATGCGGGACCCTCCTCCGGTGGCCGGGGAGCAGCCCGGGGATCGAACCGGTGCTACAGAGGCTGCGGGCAGCTTCGCAAGCCAGCGCTCAACCGCTGCACCACCAGGGAGGCCCAAAAAGAATAATTTTCTTTTGAAGAATGTTCTCACAGAGGAAAACCACTCTCCTCCTACTCCATCGCTGCTACAGACACCACATCTCCTAACCAACAGATCCCCACAGAGCAGCTGCCCCACAGAGGCGCTACCCAGCTGGCTGCAGTGGTTGAACTGAACGCGCCACAAAAATCATAAAGCTGCAATGCTGAAGGAGACCACTGCAGTGGTTCTTGAATTGTCTAGTACCGGAACTCTGTTAAACAAACCGTATTCAGAATTTCAATATACCAAAAGTAAATGTTCAGGGTTAAATTAAACTTCATAGTTGGCTCAGAGAGGACACAGGCTAAACCAACCCAGCCCACTTTCACCTTGTGATTAGAAGCAGAGAACAAGAACACTTAGATGATCTATTGAAGTTCACATTTGAACTTGGCAGAACTCAAATTAGAAGCCCACATCTTTGACTCCTGTTTGGTTCTTCTTTTTTTTTATTGGTTGTACCTACTGCCAGACATTATCTCTGGATCCCCAGTCATCATCTCTAGGCTGACCCCTTTATTCAACAGCACTCTTCAGCATCCTGTCTTGGGATAGTACCCTTGTGGCCTAACCAGTGGTCTTAAAATTGTTCTGTACTTCAGTGCATTAAAGCTTACATGTTTCAGGTATATGTCAATGCTTAAACTTAAATTTTCTCACTATGATTCCACAAAATTCATACTCAAATATGTCCTAAGTTGAATTACAACATAATCAATGCATTAATTTATACTATTGGTTAACAAACTTTTTAACAGAAACCTAAAAATTCTCCTGGCATCTGTACAATTTATCTTGACTTCTCTCAAAAAATCATTGATTAGAACAATTATAGCCTTCTGCTTGATTTCTTGTTACTGTTGATTCACGTATCTGCTCACCAAATACAGTGTCCAGATGAAGCACAGGGTTATGATCACCTGCTTGGCTGATGCGCTCATAAAGGCTACTGGCAAGCTAATCCAACAGGACTGGCATATAACAGGGGCTCCATAAATTTTGATTAACCAACTTAATATCAAGTGAACACCCAACGAGAACTGTATAGACAATTTTCATGCTTGTGTTTAAGATTGGGATGCCTCTTGCTATATTCCAGGGTATGCTTCTCAAATTCTGGTATTAAGATATACACCATGGGGCCTCCCCGGTGGCACAGTGGTTGAGCGCTGGGTTGTGAAGTTATCTGCAGCCTCTGCAGCGCTGGTTCGATCCCCAGCTGCTCCCCGGCCACCGAAGGAGGGTCCCACATGGCGCACAGACCTCTCCTGCTGCCCGCTGCTCCCCTCAGCAGTGTACTTCGGTCCTTCTGCCTGCTCTGCTCCCCACTCTGGCTCTGGTGAATTCTCTTACCCTCCCGCGCTTCTGACTGTACCCAATGCTTGTATAAATAAATAAATATATAAATCTTTAAAAAAAAAAAAAAAAAGATATACACCATGAATACTTGGCCAATGACATTTTAATGTTTACCATCGCCTACCCACTCTGCACTCTGGCCCCCTAAGTGAATCTTTAAAACCCAGAAAATGGCCTGGTAGTGCAAAGATTTGTGGAGAGGTTTCTAAGTCCCCAGTCACCTCTGGTCTTTGGTTCCTCGCGTGTGTTTACTCTGTGGTACCTGTTACCTACTTACCCACAGGGACACCAACCAGACTAGCAACGAGCGAGGAACACAAGCAACATTTGTTGAATTCATTTCTTTTTAAAGTCAGGGAAATAAAATGTTTAAAGGAAAGAAATCCAGAAAGTCACTGCAGATGAAAAATTGACAACTATGGACTACCTGAGGGGATGTGCATTACAGAAAAAGGTATTTTTAAAATTCACTGATTGAAAAGTTGAGTGATTTTGAATTCCCATGTAGTCAAGAACATAATAAACAACATAGTTATTACTATTTATAAAAACTAATGTGCCAAAACATCTCAGAATATACCATGTATTTGGTGTTAAGCTGTTTTGCTTTTATCTATTGTTAAAGAATATACTTGGTGGCGGGGGGCGGGGACCACTACAGTCCTCATTCTCCATGGGTAATCACTGTTCATTTGATGTCTATTCTTCCAAAGTTCCCATCACCCATATTAATACACATTATACACATAAATGCCTGTGTACACCTCATATTGGAAGTCAACAAATAACTTCTGAAAGCCTATATAATCGGGAACATGAGACTCAAGATGGATGTTTTCCTGATTTGGACTTTTCACAAAAATAGTATTACCCAACATTTTTGCTCACAAAACATTTTTAAAATGTAACCTTTGCCACCACTATGGGAGACAGGTAAATTTGATGCTACAATCACAACTGTATGGATCAGGAAACTAGAAAAAGAGGTCTAGCACTCTGTCCAGAAACTTACCTGGTGGCTACAGGAAACCAAATCAGAACTAGCACACAAGCGACAAGGCCTCTAGTAAGAGTACTCTTTCATTAAATAAACAGAAAACAAGATACAAACAAGTGGTTGAGCTTACCTAAAGGCAGCAATTAGTGGTGCATAAATTGAGTCCCCATCATAAACATATAAATGGTCCCAACTACACTCTGTAGCAAAATGATTGAAACGAAGTCTCATTATTCTATTTGGCCTAAAAAAGAACATAAAAAGTAATTTTTAATAATCATCCAAAACATTTAAGCTTATACATTTAAGAAAGATTTAAGAAAGAAATATCTATTTTAGTAAATGTGCTGCCAAAACAAACACTAAGGAAAAAAAAAAATCTAGATAAACTGTTAACAAATCTGTAAGGAGAGAAGAAAATGCATTATATTACCTGGTAGTCCTTCATTTGTCAAATATTTGCTTAGTACTATGCTTGTGCAACAGACCACAAAACATGAAATGGTAAACAAAACAGACATGGCCTATGCCTCTTTGGACCTTACATGCCATTCAGTGGCCATTCTGTACCAATCCACTAGTCTTTCTGCACTTCCTTCCTTACTCAAGATTCTGTACTACATTAATGCGCTACTCCACCTTTCAATTCTCTGAACTTGCCTGTCCCTCTGGCCTTTTCATGGAACTACCTGGCAAGAGCTCACTTATATGCTTTGATTTAGACTGAATCCAGCCAGTTAGGTAAGCTGGTTCCAATTCTGGTCACTGCTCACTAGCTTCAAATGTCACTTCAATCTTGCCAGCAATGTAACTACCCTTCTCTTCCACTCCACCACTGGTAACTCTCAATTACTATTTCAAACCATCCAGTCCCACCCTTCCTGCTTATGCTCAGCAATCAGACAAAAAGCTTTCAAATTCCCACTTCCCAAAATTGATATACCTACCTATTCCCCTTTACAGCTCTCAAATATTTAACATATCACTTTCATATGGAACTTCCAAAAACACATTTACATTTGCTTAAGCATTACATATGTCACAAAAAACAACAAAACATGAAAAGTTTCAAATCCCACCTCTCCTTCCAGCTCTGACCCACTCTGTCTATCCCTTTCTCCTCTGAATAAAGTGAAAGTTCATGGGGGAATATGCCAAAGATAAAATGTAAACTTTCGGGCAATAATTAGAGTTTGGGAAAATTTGTAGCTCCCACCCAGACACAAATTCCCAATACATAAAACTTTCTGATGAGATTGATAGTGATTTTAACCATTGTGATTTTTTAAAACATCATATAATGTAATATGGCAATGACAAGTATAATTCAGTAAGGCAATATTTTCCAAATGACCTATACACATCATGTTACAACTCCATGCATGGGTTCGAGAACCACTCAAAGTACAAGAAAACCAATGAATTTTTTAAAGTTCTAAGTTCACTAACATTATTTCAGGGTCCATACTGCAATTTCCTTTTAAGCAATTACCTCTCGTCAAGTTTTGCTGTAGCATCAAAGAGAACATCCACAATTATTTTAAAAAACTATTAAAATCTTGTCCTTTTTCCTACTACATATTTAAGTGAACCATATTTTTTTTATATAAACTTCACAATAACAAAGTGAATGTAGGAGGAAAATATGACAATCCAGTTGTTGTTTTCTATTAGAACAAAGAAGATCTACCAAAATGTAAGTCATTCTTCTATTTTTTTTTAAATACAGGGTTAGGACTTTTTCTTCATAAAATGTCATTTGTACAAATATGTAGTGGGCTTATTGTTGTTTTTAAATGAAATGTTCTTTATTTTAATTTCTATATGACAAGCACAGATAGAAATCACATTAACAAAATGTTTCTTTGAATTCTCAAAGTTTAAGAGTGTCAAGAGGTCCTGAGACCAAGAAGCTTGAGAAACACTGTTTTAAAGGTCTGTCACAAAGGGAAGGAGAAAAAGAAGGCAATAGCTTAAGGAGCACCCATACTAGAGAAGGAATTGTTCAGTCAACAATAGCTATTCTGATACTTCTTCCCACAATCAAAACAGGTTCTTAAAAAATGACAGTGTTTAATGTTATAATGCATTAAAGCTGACCACTGAATATACTCAACACTTTTTAAATGATTACAATCCAAAATATACAAATGCCTTGCATGTGCATATATTAATAGGAACGTTTTTTAAATTAACAATGAAGATTAAGATAACCAAAAATCAAATTCATTTGCCAAATGAAAAGCTATCAAGTAAAAGTATTTAAATTACTTCACACTACATATTAATGTTTTACTTGAAGGAAAAGCAAGTCAAGAAAAAGAAATTTCTTTCTATCCTGAAAGAAATTAAATTAGTAATTACTACTTACTGTCCTTCAATGAGCCATGTGCACTTTGTTTTATATTTATAATTTCCAGGTCCATCTGTTACAAACCCAGAAGATCCAGTTAATCTATAATTTAAAAAGAAAAACATAAAGCCATGAAAATTTCATATACTAGTACTATTTTTCTTTATTGTCAATGTAATTCAAGTTAAGGATGGTGATACATTAATGCTTACTATAACCATAAGGAAATGGCTGAATAGTTATATTCAGATAACACAAATGTGGATACAACAAATACTTGCCATATTCTTAGAGAAAATAGGACACAAATATATTAAAATCACAGACACATCTAAATCTTTCTAGCTGAGATAGGAAAGTCATACCATGAAAATGATCATAAGAACTTACAAGTTTGTTATTAAAAAATAAGATTACATGGGCCTCCCTGGTGGTGCAAGGGGTTAAGACGCAACCTATGAAGCTATCTGCAGCCACTGCAGCACGAATTCTACCCCGGCCTGGGAACTACCCACATGGTGCAGCAGACCTCTCCTGACTCACACCCTGCTTTCCTCAGCAGTGTTTTTCAGTCGATCTGCCTGTTCTGTTCTCCCCTCTGTCTCTGGTGAATCCTCTCACACCCCACACCTCTGGCCTGTACCCCAGTTCTTGTATGCATAAATAAATAAGTCTTAAAAAGTTTAAGAAAATAAGATCACACATATATAATTACAGTTATAAGCATATTTAATACAATGCAGACAGCCTAACTGTCATCAAGCTACAACTCACAGCAGACCTATCAGAACCTTCAGCTGCTGCCTCTGAGGTGGCAATCTCCCAGACTCCACGAGCAGTGCACATCAGCACCTGCTTTCCCATACTTGTGCCAAGTCTGACGTTTATTAATATTTGTAGGTCGTGCCAACATGATGGGATATCCTGGCATCTCACTAATACTTTGGTACAAACCCTGATGTTTGAGTATCTTCTCATATGTTTCATCCTCCTTTGTGAATTAAGGTTCCATATTCTCTGTCTACTTTGCTACCAAATGTCCTTTGGAAATTCATATCTAGGAGTTCTTATATTAAGGATCCATCCTATTTTATGGTAAATGTATCAAAATATGTCTTCTGGGTTTACTTTTTTTATACCAGCTGCAACAGGGAGTGTGGTCATCAGACAGGCTCTAGCTGCCTGCTCTTCTAGGAGCTGCCTTGCCCCAGCTCATGCCCTTCCCAGGGCAGCCCACACCAGAGGGGGTATAGAGTGGGTCATTTCAACCCAACAGGGGGCATTCTGACAGGCAACTTTTGCTCCAGAGCTCCTGCAATGAAGCTCAACTTCTTCCTTTGCCCAACCCTGTTCTCTCACAGATGCTATAACCAACTTGTCCCAAACTCCATTTCAGCAAATGCTTCCCAAAACCAATCTATGATAGACATCCAAAGATAATCTCCTTCTCCCTCTGGACTTCACTATGGTTAGATTTTACAGCTGCTGCAAGTACAGCTGTCAATCCACCAACACCAAGGATGACAAAGCAAAGAAATGGTCCCAGAAAAGTGGTACCACCTACTATAGAGACCATCCTACTTTAGACTTCTAGTTTTATGGATAAATAAATTTCCATAATTTACTGGTTACTCTTTCAGTGTGTGTGTGTGTGTGTGTGTGTGTGTGTGTGTGTGTGTGTGTGTTTGTACAGCGCATGCACATATACATGTGCTTCCTTGAATCTTTGTTTCGGGCTTTTAGAGCCCAACAGGTTTTTTGACTTTCTTTCACGCTTATTTTGTTCCCAAGAGTTTCTACAGCCTTCACATGGGCATGCTCAGTTGTGTGCAAGTCAGTTTCACTTTTAGAAAAGAAACAGGTCATTCTTATTTTTGATATTTAGTTTGTATATTTAAACATAAGCATTTACTTAATTTTACAGATCATGAAGAGGCCCAATCAATTAAAGGACAATTCTCCTTTTTGCATTTATTTCTCCAAGTATCCTCCCCACTAAACCACCTCAAGCATTCCGGGCTATTTTTCCCTCATATGTAGAAGTTCATGCCTGGTTCTCTTTAATCTTTTTTTTTTTTTTTTGGTCATACAAATTAATTATTACACAAACTTTTCTGCATCTTCCTGTTCTCAACAAAACTTTGTGGCATTCTCTCCAATTAATCAAGTGCTAGTCTAATTTACTCTTTTTCATGTAGCTTAATATTCTAATTTGAGGAGGCATTATTGTTTCCTGCCTTTCACCTACTAACATTCACTTTGTTTTCAGTTAGCCAGCATTATGCACACTGCTGCAATAAATATCCCTATACATATGGCCTTACTTTTACTTTTATTTCTAAGAATATAATCTTAGGAGGAAGATTACTGGGCCAAAAGGAATATGAATTTTAATTTTTAACTAAGTTGCCAAGTAATTTTCCACGCGTCTGTTAACAATTCCTATTTGTGCCAGCAGTGTATGAGAATATGCTCTCCCCCACACCCCCTCTGGATTGTGTATTTTTGTTTCTTTTAATTTTCACCAGTTTTTAATTTGAAATTCCCTTTGTTGTAATGAATGGTCAAGTGGTTACTGTGGTTACAAGTGGTTACTGACAATTTAGAGAGACTTGAAAGGGGAAGACCAGGAATATCAACCTAAAATTTCAGGTCAAGTTTATAGCATCATTTGTGAGTTAGGTATGGACAGCAGTCCTGCTTACTCCCACAGGACAAGGTGACAACAAAGGAATCAAATTGAAACATAAAAACATTTCAACAATAGCAGGTCAGACTAAGGAATGAATTCCTTGCTATTACCACTTTTCTCCATTCAGAAAATACCTCAAACAATTCCTCATGGAAACAAATATTGATACAAAGAAAAGAAAGGAAGCTTTTACAGGAGGCAAGTTTCAAAGGAGCCACCTATAATTATTTGTTACTTCTATTATTACCAGACAAGTGCTAACAACTTTTCTCATTAGTTAAGATTTTCTTTATGGTTAAGCACATTGGGACATTGATAAACTCTGATCAAACGTCCTTTGATTTTTATGTATTTTTAAAGATTTAGTTTATTTATTTATGCATGAAGAACTGTGTAGGCCAGAGGTGTGGGGGATAAGAGGATTCACCAGGGACAGAGTGAGGAGCAGAACAGGCAGATCTACTGAAATACACTGCTGAGGGGAGCAGAGGGTGAGACAGGAAAGGTCTGCTGCTCCATGTGCGTCAGCTCCCTGGATGGGGATGGAACTCATGTGGCAGTGGCTGGTGATCGCTTGATAGCGCTGAGACTTTAACCCCTGTGCCACCAAGGAGGCCCTCCTTTGCCATTTAAAAAAAATAGTTATCATAGAAATATAAATTAGTATTTTATATATGCACATATATTAAGTTTATTGAATGCACTACTCAATTTTCTTATATTCTTACATTTCTCACTTTTTTTTTATTTGAAGCATTTAGCTATTAAGCCATAAAAGTTTATGATTCTCTTCATAAATTGTTCTTCTCCTCATGATAATAACCTACTTACCTAGTTTGATATTCAAATTATACCTTGTCTATTACTATGTAATCATTGATATTTTTGGTTATTGTTTCCCTGGGCCTTGGGTCTTTATCCAACTCTTTATCTTTCATATTTCTTTTCAAATGTTTAAGTTTCTTTCATTTAAACAGGATATGGTTAGATTTTGTTTCTTTTTTTTTAAAGATTTATTTATACAAGAACGGGGGTACAGGTCAGAGGCGCAGGAGGGTAAGAGAATTCACCAGAGACAGAGCAGAACAGGCAGACGGACCAAAGACACTGCTGAGGGGAGAGGGGAACTGCAGGCGAGACAGGAGAGGTCTGCCATGTCATGTGGGTTTCTCCCTGGCCAGCCAGGAATCGAACTTGTGCTGCAGAGGCTGTGGATTGCTTCATAGTACGGTGCTTAACCCCTTGCGCAACCAGGGAGGCCCCTTTTCTTTCTTTCTTTTTTTTTTTAAGATTTATTTATTTATGCACACAAGAGCTGGGTACAGACCAGAGGCGCAGGGGGTGAGAGGATTCACCAGAGACAGAGTGGGGAACAGAACAGGCAGACTGACTGAAATACACTTTTGAGGGGAGCAGCGGGCAAGATAGGAGAGGTCTGCTGTGCTATGTGGGTTGATCCCTAGCTGGCTGGGGATGGAACTCCTGCTACAGAGGCTGCGGATTGCTTCATAATACGGTGCTTAACCCCTTGCGCCACCAGGGAGGCCCCACCTTTTTCTCATTTTTAAATCAAAATCTTCTTGAGAGTTATCCAGTCTTTCTGAAAACACCCTCACCTCCTAATTTCTTAACCCACTGAAACTGGACTTTTACCCTCAATCCTCTTTTGAAATCCTTCTCTTAAGGTATACAACGGTGACCTCTTGGGACCCTGTGTACTTCACTTTCCCACTGCATGTGAAATAGCTGATGACTCCCCCTTTCTTAAAACACATTCTTTAATTGGTTTCCATAACTTTCCACTCTGGATTCATTGGGAGCTTTTCCTTCCCCTTTGATAAATCACCTGCTCTTTTCCAATCTAACTGCAGGAATGTCCCAGAGCTTCAATTTTAGTCTGCTTCGCTACCTGAATTCCCTGTACCAGTGATCTTACACTGTCAAAGCTTTAAATACTACCTATACTCATTTTTAATAACAAAATTTCCATCTCTACAATGGTAACACCATTCTTTTTTTTTATCCCAGAAGAAAGAAAACAAATACAAGCATATCTCCAGTTAAAAAAAATAGTTTCATTTTTTTCCTTCCCAACACTTATAACTATTATTTTTCTTGGCTTATTACAATTGGCTATGATCTTCATTATGACATGAAAAAGAACTGGTGATGATAAATATCCTTGTCTTATTCCTGATCTCAGGAGAAATTTTCTAATATTTCACCAAACGTGTACTTTACTTTGTATGAAACCCCTACCAAATTAAAAAAGAATTTTCTATTCTAAGTTTACTAAAGATTTTTATCATTAATAGTGTTAAATTACCTTTAAAAAATGTGTCCAGTGAAATGATCATTTCACTAATTCTGTTAAGGTTGTAAATGATACTGATATATTTAAGTATTTCAT